GCTGTTGGTAGTTTTCACTCGCGATCACGGCAGTTTTAAGCCACATTGAATTTGTCAGATAAAAGTTCAGCCACCTGATTATTCCTGGGCAGGCGGTCAAGTAATTTACTAGTACTTAGTTGCCTTCACTTTTGCAAATGACTGATAACTTTTGCAAACCTTTGCACATGCCAGAGCGGAGGTTCATTGCAAATGACTGTTAAGAAAGGATTTCAAAATCAATTTCAATGAAAGTGACCTGCAAAGTACAGGAATCGAACCTGGATCATCGGATTCACTGTCCGACGCTCTTCCTTAGACCTATCGAGCTGACTGGACGGTATAATTTGTCAAATTATTTGATCCCGGTCTCTTTTGAAGCAAAAGGTTTCATTAAGTTCTTTTTTTGTTGTCAAATTTTAAAAGGTGGAGAATCTGTTTAAATTGATACACTAATGCTTTAAATAGATCTATTGACAGGCCACCATATTGCCTGATTATTGTCTGCACTGTTCGCTGTACTAGTTTCTAATATATTCAAATTGGGTTTCTTATTACTGCTCTTTCATTGACGTTAAAGTTAATTTTTGGTGTAATTTTACATTTTCTAGTGGTGGTTTAATATTGTAATCATGAATGTGACTTAATTACTATGTTTAAATGGAAAAAAAGGCGAAAAAGTTAAACTGCAAAAAAAATCATTTAAATGAAATTAACCCTTAATCTGCTGGAACCAAAAGTGATCAGCCTTTGCCACCAGTATAGAGCCAGGCTAGCCTGCACATCTGTTCAGTCTGACCAAGCTCTATATACTGTTGGCAGCACAATTCTTTGATATTGAAATCTTTTGAATGGACTGTTTCAAATTCAAATTATAGAAATACTTTTTAGCAGGCCAAGGGTTAAGTTAAATTTTATCCAAACATCAGTTATTTTTTTTGTTAAAGCAGGCTGAGATTTGAAGTTATTTAACAAGTACCTGATACAGGTGTTTAAACAATCGTGCAATCTTAAAAGTGGTTTTATCAAAAGTTGTTCAAATAAATTAAAATTTCTTCTTATTTTTTTTTTTAATCAAAGTATCTTAAATTACATTGAACAAGACTTTAATATATATACGAAAATCCTTTTAACTTTGCTTATCTATTAATCACGACACATCTGTCTATTTACTTGATTTTGAACAGATCGGCGGAGTCAAGTATACGTTTTTAAAATCCCGAGGATTTACCTTACTTCATTATTGCCGATTTTATAAACCATTATCTGGTATCTATATACATTAAATTGAACAACGGGCGTTATTATTTTATCGGTAATTCGATACATTGAATTGAAAGATTATTGAATTAGATTTGAATACCTTGTACCTCATGATAGACTAAGTATCTATTCAGGCCCATAGTTACCAATTATGCACATTTTTAAGTCTTTGAGTTTAGTTAATTGGTCTATTTAATTGTCTGTTAAATTGTGTTCTATTTTACAGCTTTGCAGTTTAGTTTTATTTTTTTCTCTCTACAAGTTGGAAAATTTATTATGTGTTAGGCAATCAAAAAAGTTCTGTGATCTAACTTGGAAAATTTATTTATTTACGTAAATCATAAAAAATAAGAAACTTCTAAAGATTTTGTTTCTATATAAAGAAGACTGTATAGGCAGTAAAAATAAAGCAATTATAATAAAAAGCAGCGGTTGTAGAGGCGAAACAAACGGATTTCATGGTGTCGATTAAGGAGAAAAATTTGAATTCCAAAGTTTACATTTTTTACGTGCTCTTCAATTTCACTGCAGGAGATTGGAAATAGTTTTGTTTCTATAATAAAGCTGATAGTTGAATCATTAGAAAAAATGTTCTTCTGACCAAACAAAAAAATTTGCGTGAAAAATTAGAATGTGGCAATAAAGAAATAATGTGCAATAGGGGACAAACAGTCAGTTGTGATGTATACATAGTGAGTTTCTCCATAGGAAATCTAATAAAATTTGTAGTAAAAAATGCAGTCTGAATTGGTTTAATATTGCTTATATAATATATATGGTTATATTGAAAACTTAGGCTTTGTTTTTATTTAAAAAATAAAATAATGCAGGTTTTAGATTTTAAAAAATATAAATGTATTTGATTGTTTTTAAAAAAAAACATTTATAATCTATATTTTATGCACTCAACATACTGTGTTATAAATTAGGATTATTTTTGTAGACGGTTTTATCAAAATTTCTTGAAAAATTCATTCTTGTAAAAAAAAGTTCTATATATTCAATTTCAGTTTAATTTTTTGGATACAATTAAAAAGAACATTACAAAAAATTAAAACAAATATAATAGGAATGTATCTATTCTTGAAATTTTAAAAAAGAATTTTTTTACTTCAATATATAAGACTGCATTTTTACAGAAACAGTATGAAATCTAGGTGATCATTAACTATATGTTACGTTGACATTGGACAATTAACATTAATGATGGGTACAATGGAGGAACAAGAGTACCCAAGGGTATTTTCACCCCTCATGAAGGGACCGATCACTCAGTTTGTGTTAGAGGGCAAACAAGCCCTCAAATCACCTGAGGTTCCAGATAATGTAAGTTTTTAATACTTTATATGATAATTTCAAACTTCCAATCTTTATGTAATTATGGAGTGATTGCATGAGTGTGGGATTTAGCTCGTGAACTTGTAAAATTAGTGATTTTAAAAATATTTGATGTAAGGGTCAAATATTTTATGGATTAATTTTTTACAAGTGTCTGTGTTGAGAAACAATAATTTATATACCGGTTAAAAAATTCTTAAAATCATGTGTCATCATATATTTTGTTGTAAAATATTTTGTTGTAAAAAGCTCCATGGGAGCATTTGGTAAAACTGGTTAAATCAAGTAAAATTATTAAAGAGCTATAAGGGACCCATGCAGAAGCCAGTATGATAATTATATCTATTTGATACTTCTATAAATAGTGTACATGTACGTATGTAAATTGAAATTTCAATTAAATTTTGAAATTATTAACAAATTCTGTTTTTTGATAATTGCTAAAAAATTAGGGATGTCATTTGGAGAGGAAATTGCCATCTGCATATCCGGATCAGACTTCCGGATACATCAGATGTTCAGATCCTTGTTTTATTCTTAAGTTTGTTTGCTGATATGGCGTAACCAATTTGGCGACCTTTTGCAAAGAATGCATGTATTTAATTTGTTTTTCTTCCTTTTTAATGGAATGTTACTTATTAATTTTTTTTCTCACTATTTGTAATGTATGTAAGTTACAGTTGTAATTCTGATGTCATAGCTTACACATGCAAAGCGGGCCAATCTGAACATTCTGTGCAGTCTGTCAAGACTCTTAGAAGCTGTTCACACAACTGTATAATTTTTGAATTTCAATCATTTGATAATAAACGGTTGTAAATTCAAAGCAGATATTGTTCATATTAACAATTAGTTTATATTAATTTATTTAATTAATTTTAGTTCAAATGTGTTGAAAACTGTAAGTTTATTCCATTCCTGGAACCAACCTGAGTACTAAGCAATGACTTATGTTTCTTGCTCACAGAAACAATGGCTTGTCCCTGACGGGCTTGAACCCGTGCGGCCAGCAATCCTAAAATAGATTACTAGTCAGACATGTTAACCACTAGGCCATGCCGCCATTCAAACAGTTGAGTAAACTGAAGGTTTACAGCAGCATGCAGTTTTCATTGTATAGATTTCCGTCTAAGTAATATAACATGTTCTGTACTTTTTATTTATTAATTGATACTTTTTTAACATGATGAATTACATTGGATAGAATAGACATACTGTAAATAAATATCACAATCGTTTTCTGTGTAATGTTATTTCTTTGCTTTAATACACATATTCAAAAATAACATGACAGTGTATTAAAACAATACAGTGTTCACTCCACTGAGGTTTTTTTTAAATGAGGTGACTGATTCACTTGATATTTGTAAGATTTTCAAATTTCATGTTGTAAGGCCTTTGAACCTCAGTGGAGCCCCTTTTAGCAAAAATAAATGTATATGTAATATACATATACATGTATATATGTATAACTATATATTGTCATTGCAATGTGATAGCAAATAACATCTTTTATGCTTGGTAGATATTTCTATCATAATTATATTGAAAATAATATGTCTATTTTTCTGATTCATTGAGAAAGAACAGACATCTAAGATTTGTAAAATTGTGACTAATTAGATTATAGAATAGTCCGTGTTCTGCTATTGTGCACATGTAGTACATGTTACATTCATTGTAAACAGTAACTCAATCACAGCTTATTTATTTGTAAACAATAACTGCCATAGAAGGTTAATGGCAGGATGTTGCGTTAAGTAAAGCTTCACACTTCTGTAGATGTTATGGCATGAAAAAAGACGAATTAGCTCTATTCTTGAATAAATTTACATCTGGCATGGTAATTTGGTGTTTCATTTTGTTTTTTGTTTACAGAAACCATATTGTCATGGTTTCCATGTGATAGTCTGATGTAATTTGACCAACTAATTGGGCTATCATTGCAGTAAGCTATTTTTGCATGGTGCCCTGGGTCACTCATATGTAAAACCTGCAACAAAAATGCCTACTGCAGTACCCACATAATTATTCCCATAATGCATGTTTTTCATTTCTGTTCATGCATATCATGGTGAGTTGTTTTCATGCAAGAGTATGTGTTATTTGAATTACACACATGGATACAAGTTTTCATGCATTTGTCTGAAGTTTAGGTTTTTTCTACTCTTGAAAGCTCTCTTTTTCTGTATAAAATCATTTGAAATAATACTCAGAATTTAAGGTTTTCTGTTGTTTTTTTTTAACATACCCATGTACACATAACCTACCACATTATGCCTTGCTATTTTCTTTCAGCCTAATTCCATGAACATCAAAAACTGTAGATATATTTTGTCATAGCTGTATGTCCTGTAATTCACTATATAATATACTCAGTGAAGAATAATTTTCTGTATTCCATATATTCTGTATTTCAGCTGCGTTCTATGTACAACAACAGTAGAAGAGAGGCTGATGAAGGGACAGAGTTCTCAATAAATCCTGATCCAGTACCATACCAACCTAACAATTTCATGTAAGTTGAGCTAAAATGTGCTGTTATGCCCTTGTCCTTTTTCATGTAGTATTTTATTTTATTGAAAGGAATTTTTATGGGTCGTCCCAGTGGCCCTGTGGTTAAGGTTGTTGATTTAAAACCACTTGCCTCCAACAGCTAAAAGTTTGAGCTGCATTACGTCTTCATATTTTTTATATGAGAAAGCTAATTTAGCTGGCTTACGTAACATTTGGTGTTTCTACTTAAGTGCTCGTTTATGCCATGCCTGAAATAATGTAGGGATGGGAACCTGAGGTCTTCATCAATAATGCTAGAAAGTTGCAATATGACCTATATTGTGTTTGTGTGATGTAAAACCACACGCACAAACACACACAAAAAAAAAAAGGAATTTTATAACAGTATTCCTTATATGATGCACTAAAAATGACATTAGGCACATTTGTTATTTTTCACGAAATAGAATATACAGGGAACTATAGTAAATGATAAAGTGTGAGTGATATAGAGTGAAAGATATACACAGAGTGATATGTAAAGTATATCTCACTGTTGAAAAATGTTGTATTTCATTCATTAGTGAGGAAGCTATCCAGCTAGCTTACGGAACGTCGGTGGTTCTACTCAGGTGCCTGTTCGTGCCTGAAATATGCACAGAAGGGCACCTGAGGTCTTCCTCTACCAGTAAAGCTGGAACGTCGCGATATGACCTATACTGTGTCGATGTGACGTAAAACCCAAAAACAAACAAAATCATTCATTATTGTCATAAAATGATAAATATATGTGCAGTTTCAACAAACTTGTTTAAATGACTTTATTACAATTACTTAAATAATCAGTTCATGTCCAAGTGACATAGATTATATAGTAAGTTTTAAATTTTGCAAAGTGTCCGTTTCACTACACTGTGAGACACGTGGGGTGTGGAGCTCCAAATGCTTAAAAATCCAAATAAAATGTATATAATAAGTTTTCAATCCAAGCACATATACTTCTCATATATATCAATAAAACGTAATATACACTGTTTTGAAAAAAAATCATTTTTCACATCATTCTGTGTTTTACGTATGATATTTTTAACCAAAAAAAAGTGCAGGGAGAAATAGCCGACTGGATGGTGCTGAATCAACTGTACCGCCGTAAGTCACATGTTAGCTGTGCATGTTTAATATGCTATTGTTATATAGCTAGATTCTAACGTGTTTTTGTCTGGCATATAGTATATTTTGGTTATATTTAAAATGCTATGTTTAATGTGATGTTGTGTTAAAATTTAAGGACTGGAATAATGTATTTAAAATGCTATGTTTATGCGTTTTTGTTGCTTTTAGTTAATAGTAGTTTGAATGTGATATTATTTAACAACATAGTTACATCTTAAATGTCCATTAAATTCCTATGATTTTTATTTCTCAAAAGCATTTTAGAGTTACAAAATAAATTTTATCATTTTATAACACATATTTCCATCTTCAAAGGACAGGCCAATTATGCAAATTTAGCAGTCAGGGTTATTGTATAGAGAAAATGTTTGAAGGTGCCATATAAGTTGAATAATGTGGACCATATCCTTATTATGATGCAGAATACATATTGGTATTAGAAAATCTATCTGATTTGTTTGGAAATTACCATGTATAACAAATAGGTCAGTTACAAATTCATACAAAGGAGCAAAATATGCAAGAAGGTCATTTCAAGCAGTCGTAATGCAACATAGAACATGATTAAACAAATGGTTTTCCAAAATATTTGTATATCAGAAGCTTTATTTACCCACTTCGAATTTTCTTTAGAAAATATTGATTTTTTTTTCCTGTTTTATTTTAAAAGTATTCTAAAAGTATTGCATTATTTTAAAGTCCCATTTAGACAAACATTTTGTTTACATTATAATCACATTTATCCAGATATGTTTAATTAAATCAATTTTGCTGGACAATTAATTCAGGTCAATCTACTCAAACAAATAAATTAAAATAAAAGATTTTTAATAAAATCTTTCTTCTAAATTTTTGCACCTGACATATTCATATTAGTGTGACCATTAATATATATATTTAATGAATTAATACTGCTTTATCTGCCAGTGTCATTTAAACTTAAACTGACCTATATTTTCAAGACAATACAAAATCAGATTTACGAGAGAAATCTTTAAATCCGTACAGTAATCAGACCTTTAATTCTTTAATGCCAAAGTTGGTTTATTTAATCATCACAAGATAATCTCATATAGTCAGTTTATTCAATAATAAAGACCCCAAGAGTATATTGTAGGCCAAAGAAAGTTAATTTTCAGGTTATATTACACTGTCTATTTATTTCAGTTGGGGAGAACTTTTGAACTCTTTTTTTTTTTTAATATTTATAGAAGGGTTTTTTGACTTTTCTTGAAAATTTGATGACTTTTTACCATTTCCATCAAATTTGAAATTGGTGGGAGGTATTTTGTCCATCGAGTCAAATTGGTGAGGGGGCTTTTGTCAATCTTGTCATCTTTGGACAGGAGAGGGCTTTTGTCCTACATAGGAGCTTAAATGGTGTCAAAATTTGTCTTTCAAACATGATACCTTAAATGTGTTTTTTTCCCCTGATGTGAGGTGTATCTTACATGAAGATATCCATAAAATTAAAAGACATTGACTTACCTGTTTGTAGTCATTTTTTTAGTGATATACAGTAAAATGTATATGAATAATAATAATTTATAACATATAATTTTTAAGGCAAAGAAAATGTCACTTTTGAGTTAAATAAAATGAGGTATTATCATTTCTTGACCATTTACCGGTAATCTGTAACTGCTGCATTGTTACCATGTGATAAGAACATCTGTTCTATTTATATAATCTTGATCCACAGATCATTATTTAGTTGAAGTTTTCCCTTAAAATGATAAAAGATTTTGTCCATACTGAAAGATAGATGTGGTTGCTTATTTAAGACATTTAGCATAGTGATGGTTAAATCAATATTCTTAATTAGATATTGAATTTCAAAATTTCATTGCATGTTTGATAACAACCAAAATACAAACTTCTTTGAAGAACATCAATTTTTGACACTTGAACTTTAATAGACTCTCCACTTTATGTAATAGAACTCAAGGCTTCATTTGTATTATAAAATCAAGTTAAAAAAAGACTTCACAAATAGAGCTCCGGTTGATTTGCGGTTTTGATTTCAGATTGCCCAAAGTGATCCTTTTAAAGAGACCAATTTGTATAAGTATTTCAGACAGTTATAAAATCATTTATTGTAAGTTATTTCGGCTATCAGCTGATCATTGCCAAAATGTTTAAATAGCTTATCTGATCTTATATTGAAATGCTGATTTGAAGTGCTTGAATTTTTATCAAGTATGCACTACCATTGAATAATTAGTTTGAAATATTAGTCCTTAAATGTGTGTAAATGATTTATATACGTGTGGCGGTAGTTTGTATATGATGTAGCTAGATTGTGTTTGAACTAAATTATTTTTACATTGAATGTGGCAACAGCATTGATAATATATGTTTGGCCAACCTGCATATCCTTTAAGTACTTTGCCTCTCAACCTAGGGATCATGGGTTAAAGTCCCACTTGGGTCAAGACCAATTATTTCATCATGTGACACCTGAGTACTGGTTGGTTCCAGGTAGTCACCAGGAATCGAAAATGATTGATATAATGTTGCAAGATCTTGTAATATGTTTAAACCTGAAGTACTTTGATATTCAAATTCCCGAAACTACTGTATTCCTAGAAAAGATTTCGCGCATTTTAAGTTAGCGGTTTTCGCGGTAGGCATGATTCCGCAAATCTTTATAGCCGCGAATATGTCACTTATAACAAATCCGCGAACATTTCTAGCTTCAGCCAAATATAACATAAAAAGTGCAGAATATTTATTATAATCTACTTACACAAAAAAACAACATATAAACACAGGTGCTATAGAAATGTGTAAAGAATAATTTATGTATGTTATTGATACTAGTTTGCACGCTGAAAAACAAAATATCAATTATTAGTAATTATCATGCTTATTGACGTTATTTGCTAGTCACAGCGTTGACAATCTCATTTACAGTTTGCGAACATTGAATGACTTGGATTTTATTTGCTTGGAGTAGGTGTAATCCTTTGTTAAAAGTACAAAAGCGATACAGTGCTACATTGATAAACAGCTGTTATGTTGTTATAATGAAAGCGATGTACAGTCCGATAATGTGTAAAAAAAGTATCGACATTTTGAAGATAAAGTCAGTTAGGATTCAAATGAGAATAAAAGCTAACGGGTCTGACTAAATCTTACATAATAACATAATGAAAAAAGGTAAGGAAAATATGAATTTCAAAGTGTTCACGGAACAACCCTCCTTGTTCAACTAGTCAATAGATGAAAATGAATCGAGTAACGTTGCGCTTTAGACACAACTTGTCAAAAAAATAAAATAATTAAAAACACCCAACAGGCAAGGTCATGCATCAAAAACGTAGCCTCTAAAAGCTGTAATTTAGACCGTAGCGACTTGACATTCGCGGAATTTGCGGTTACAACATTTCCGCGAAAGTTTGTCTCCGCGAAAATGCCGACGTTGTGAAAAACGCGAAATATTGTATCCGCGAACATTTCTAGGAATACAGTAGTCATTATCAACATTTCCAATTTCAAACAAGTCCATTAAACAGATTGATCAGCATAAAAGTTGTTACAGATTTTTAAGATGTATGGGCTTCTACATAAGTTTAAATGACTGAGTCATATATAAAATACATCAATGATAGACTTTGCAAAATTCTCCAAAATTACCATATGCATGCAAATTGATCAATAAAACAAATTTTCTAAATGCAGACTTCTTATATGTGTTTATATATATGGACTTTAAAAGTTCTTAATGTTCCCACTTCAAAATATATGCAAATTTTCTATAAACAATCCTATATCAAATATACAAATGATCTTTTAAAATGTATTTCATGCATGTGTTTTTTTTCTGGCATTCTTGATCTTTTAAGCCTTAAATTGCCATTGCTGTAATTAGCCTTAAAGCAGCATGCCTCCAAATTCATGCTTATTTTTATGACAATTTTGAAAATGTATTTAAAATAAAAGTAAAATATTGTGAAGTGAACACAGAAAATTATGTACACATTGCAAAGATTGTCAGTACATTCAATCCAGTCGTAAATTACCATAAAGAGGTCTGAATATACAAAATTAGCCCTTGCTGAGTTAGTCATGCAGCAGAAATATTGCGATAAATTCTACAAAATCTTCTATCATATTTCACAAATGACAAGTAAATTATTTATTGAATATTGCATCTTTTTAAGTTTTTTTTTCTCAAAATCTTAGTACATTTTACTCAAGGTTGATTTTCTTGAAATATTTTTCGCACATCTGTAAGGTTAATAATGCTGCTTTAAACATCTGAGCAGCCTGACCATGCAGGCTCTTTTAGATTTGTTGGTTCAGCTCAATTCTTGTACATTTTGTGCATTTTGATATTTAAATCCCTATAATTTTAGATGGACTGTTCCAAGTTCAAAGCAAGGCTTAAAGGGACTGAATTGAACTGCAACAAAGGTCTACAGAAAATTAATTTTTACCTGCTGTTAAGGAAATTATGATGGCTGATTGATAAAGCAATTGTGAAAATGTCACATAGACTTGAATTGTTTAATACCCTTTGATGCTGTAATATATTACTAGTATTACATAAATGTGCCATTAAAACCAAATAAATCAATGAATTGATCTCTAATACAGATAATACATAACTTTTTCTCTCTAAAATAAAGATGTTATAGAATTCTAATGGGAAAGTGACTATTTTGCTTGAAGATGTATAAGTAAAATTATTTAACTTTTCAAACTTGTACTTTTCACTGATACATCTAAAATAATAAATATATCTTTAAATACAGTGTTGCCCTCACATGTTCACGTGACTGTTTATTATTATTCATTATTATACAAATGTATTTGTCTCATGTTTTTGTATTGTAATGCAAACTGGGATATAATTATTCAATAAAACTTGAAAACTTGAACGCCTCCTTTATAGAGCCTGACCAGCAAAAGCAAGACATAGAGGTTATGTCTGTCCAGACTGTATTAAATCATTATTCAGTATTGTATGCTTATTTATATTATTTTGATATCAGACTTTAGTCAAATTAAATTAAGAGTGTATTGAGTCCCAAAGTCAGTGTGGGACAAATTTGTCATACACGTTCAGAAAGGTTAATTTTTTCTCTATTCTATAGGATGCCTTATCCTTATAGAAACATTTTTCGATCTGTTTGTTGAACCAACCAGCACTGAGCAATGAGTTTTTTTACTTCTTTGCTCAAGGAAACAACAGCTTGGCGTTGGTTTGGATTTGAACCCACGGGACTAGTGATCATTACTAGTCAGATTTCTATTCATATGTTTTAACTACTTAGCCATGTTGCCACTAAAATGTAAGGTAAACATGATTCATGCATTTATTTCATATTATTTTCTATCTTGATTTTGTTATATATAGGTCATCGACAATGATGAAGAAGGTTCCGGTGGCACGGCGTCATTTTGACACTTTTGGCACTATAGACTGGATGTCCGGTATACCTAAACGTGGTATGATGCTTCATACAGATCGGTACAACTGGGATCTTGCCAAGGCTTTAGACGGGTACAGCACTTTAATTAACTTAATTGACATTATCAATTTTAAAATAATCTTATATAATGATATATTTGACTGTGATATGCTCATACTGCCCGTGGAAGTTTGTTCTTTTACAGACATGTTTTATTTATATACTTCTTTTGATGAAATTTGTTGCATATTTGAACCATCGAGTCAGCTTCCTGATAAATTTAGTGTTAGTGTCAATAAGGCTAAAACACACAATTCCAAGGTTAAAAGACAGACACCTTTATAAGTAAGCCAACTCTTCCGGCGGGCAGTAGCAGTTATGTGACAAGATTCAGTAATGCTAATTGCTGCTGAATTATATTTAAGCATAATTTTTTATAAAAATCAACTCAAAACAGTAACAAAAACTTAGAACAGAAAAAGGATATATTGATCAGTCAGTTTATACTAATATATGTAAAGTTGTGGGCAAAGCAAACTCTTCCACATCTCTAATTCACTTGGTGTTAAAGCGCATTTTAGCTGGATGACTTTAAGTGAACTTTTAAACATGTTTTGGTCTATGCTATAACTTACTGGTTATTGACTTTATTACATCTTTTTAGAATTAGTTTCTAATTGACATTAAGTAATCTTGTGTTTAATTTGGTTCAACAAATAATGCCAATAAACGGTTATTTTGATGTGACTGACCAGATCAGGCTATGAGGCTTATATTTGACACCTTAGTTTATATTGTATCATAATCTCTTGACAGACTGTTTCACGTGTATGTGCCAAAGTGCCTAATACAACAATGTTTATTTTGACAATGATTAAAGGGACTCCACAGAGTTTTTTTGTTTTTTTACATGATGGGAATTGAAATTTTTTTTTGAAATTAATGTTCCATTATAGATCTAGACAAATAGTGTGTAACAGTTTAATTCATTTGCTGACTCCCTTTTTTCAAAATAATTATTCTGATCACCAAAAACAACACTTTTCACTCAAGTCCGGCTAAGAATAGCACAAAAATACAATCTTTAATTTATTTCTGAGTATATTTCTTAATTATCTTTTGCATATATTTCTGTTGTAAGTGCCCCAGCTGATCTATGTAATAAATTCAAATTTTAAGTTTTTAGGCTTTTGGACCTCAGTGGAGTTCCTTTAAGACATTTCTGAACCTTTCTGAAAATGTCATTAGTTGTCTGTTTGATGTGAGGTTGAAAATGATGGGTTTTAATCTGTTATTTCAAAAAGCTATCAACCCATACCTCATAACCATACTTCCTAAAGGCATATAATCAACAGTTTTCATATAGATTTATAAACAGAATGATAGATGTATAATAGAATTATTAGAACTTATCTAAACATTGCATAATCTCAGATTATTATAACAAACATTTTAAGTAGATAAACTTTGGGTTACTTGGTATGTTTTCAAGTTATCTGCCCTTTAATTTGATTTTTTTGCTATTGTAGGTCATTTCAAGGGCAGATAATTTTACAATTATATCATACATGATATACATACATTCAAAAATATATAATATATACTGTGGATAAGAATGAAAGACATCATATCTTACAGAGTTTGTCACCCATTATTATTGACATTTCCAACAGGGCTTGAGTTTTTAAGCTCTTAAACTTGTCTTGGTCATGTTATCTTTTGAAATTTATTACATGAAATTGACAGTTCATTTTAAAACTATCATAATATAGTTCTATATAAAGATTTATAGTTGAAATAAATTGTATAACTATGCACCATGTTGCGTACAAAGTAACAAAATATGACATTAAGTACGAAACCAGGATTTATTTATAAGCTTTTGTTTAGGAGAAAATATTTGGCAACATTCAACCTTAATACAAGTTAATAACATAAGACGTAATACATGTAAAATGAGATAGAAAAAATTACAAAATGGGATCTATATCATGTCATGATTTTTAGATCGAGAGTTGAAATATTGACGTGAATTTGAAAAAAAAATGAAGAGGAAAAAAAGTATTGTTATGGATTTTTTTTATAGAGTTTGACCTAATTTTGTTTTAAAAATGGATGTGAACTTATAATCATTTGTCATAATGTTCCGTTTCAATGTTGATACACTTTCTCGGAGTAAAACGTTTCATTTCGGTGATGAAATCGACTATGTGTTTAAAACTGATACCAAAGTTGGATTTAGTTATAATCAGTTACATGACAATGCCCACACGTATGATAAATTACCTTCTATTGGATCCAGGATGAGTCAGAGAGAGAGGTTACACGCGGAGCTCGAGTACATGGAACGATTACGAGGGATAAAGCGACGGCGAGAAGTACTACCTCACAGAGCTCAGTTAGATCTCCTTATGGGTGGTAAAAAAGTAGAGTTCAATGAAAGGTACGATTAATTGTGTGTTTTAAAAGCGTGTTAATGATTATACATTTAATTGAAAAAGAAATGTTTGCCAGTTTGAGAAATGGATAGTAAAATGAAACCAAGACATAATATACTCAGAAGGCTTGACTGAGCTGGTACTGAATCTTTATATTGTGGCATGTCCTGTGTTTAAAATACTGGAATTTTCCATACCATGTTTAAGGTTATACTTAAGCAGACAGAAAAAAAAAAGAGACAAATATGTACACCTGGACATCAATTTTGGTCAAGTAAATAGTTATTTAATTTTAGCAATGAATATGATGAAATTTATAATTATGTTCACAAGTTCTGAATTTTATTTTCGAAAACATGTTACGAAAACACAATTCATTAGTAAACAACAGTTTACCTACAGTCTTCAATTCAAGGCAATTGACGCATCATTTAAGATTTACAATTCTATTTCCTGATTGGTTGTTTATATTTAGGTCAGATTTGAAATTGACCAATGAGAGCTCTGCTTTTCATAATGACTTGATATAAGCTCATGTCCGTCACTCTTCATAGGAACATAGTTTTGATAATCTTTAAAACTTTGGCAATGAACAAATTATCTGATTTTTGTTCTGATAGATTGATTAATGGTTATTGATTTTTGATAAATGATTAATGATCGAGCAGTTTTTTTAAATGACTAATCAACATTATAAAAATTATTTTATTTTGACTTAAATCCAAGTAATATAATTATTGTATATTGTTAGTTTAATATAAATGAAATAACTTCAAATATCAAATATAAAATCATGTTACAATGGATTGATATACTTAAGCCCAATTTTCCTACACAAATTTGTTGTTTTCTGCCAATTTTCCCCTGTTTTCCAAGAAATTCTTTAATATTAAATCTTGAATATTTTTACTTTTCCTAAAATATTAGTACATTTTTCTCAGGTTTGATTTTATTGAAATATTTTGGCTCATCTAGATGGAAATCATAAATTTCATTGAGCGGTATGAAATATGATAATTTTTATATCACAAGATGAAAACAAATCCTGTATTAAGTGTATTTATAGAATAAAAAACTTGAATTTTCTGTTTATTCTATCCATTTTGCTCTTTTTATAAATACAATTTGAAAGATTTCCACTTAAATTTTGTGAATTGGCTGAATTTAGAAGAACACAACCAGACACCAGTGAAAATATTGAAAATATATTTCAATGTAGCGAAAAATAATTTTTTGCTGTGAAAATACGGAAAATGAAAATATGCATTTTATTTCATCAATATTTCTAAATATTTCATTAATGTATATAATAAGTAGTATAACTGTGGTTTTTTCTCAGGTTTCAGATTCAGAGAGAGATCGAGAAGTTAAAATCACTCATCTTGCCACAGCATGCCAAAGACCTGTTCCATGGACGAGGATTTGTTCTTCCCTCGTAAGCAATTTTGTTACTACTAATATTGAAACTTTACACTTACTTTTTACTTAATTTTGTGACACAGGTGAGCTTATAGGACTGATAGTTGGCCGTTGTTTGACATCAGTTGTCCACAGTTGTTTTCTATATCTTTAATATTTTTTTGAAACTTGCCTTGGATGTTCTTGTATGAATTTATATGGTTTGTGTTCATTGCATATTTAGTTCACCAGAGCTAAAAATAGTTTTAAATTGTGAAATCTAGAAAACTGCAACTGGCCTTAGCTTAGTTTTTCACTAAGGTGAGCAATAAAGAGCCATCTGTGAACTGCTCATTACAGCTGTATGTCTAATAAAACTGCATTCCTTTGTATAGACAGAAAGTATACAAATACCAATATACGAGGGGTTATCCAAAAATTAGTGGACTTTCTTTGTTGCGTAAAATATATTTGAGATATTAATTTGAAATTCTTACACTGCTTAGAAGAATTAATAACAAATAGACACTGAAAAAATCATGTGAGTAGCTTCTAACATTACAAAAATATTTAATTTTACATAAACACATGTCGGTGACAGAGGCGCACTCCAAAAAGTTATTGACGTCAACGTCATTATATTTTAAAGAATTACTTAAATGACACCATAGAAGAAACATGCGATGTTCAGCGGGTTTTCTACGTTAAATAGCAAAAATAGCAAAAAATGTACTGTGACTTACTGCGCTTTTCTACCGTGCGCCGGGTGCCGTGTATGTGCTTATTTACAAGCAATATAAAATCATTATTTATTGACACAATTAACTGTTCCTTTCAAAATGTGCTGATAATATTCTAAAATGTATGCTGATAATTTTTCATTACAATACACGTTGACGTTTAAGAGATATTTAAAAAGTCCACGAATTTTTGGATAACCCCTCGTATATGTAAATTATTCATGCTCGCTCAATTTCTTGTATAAAACCTACACTTTTAGCTTATTTAGATCATATTTAAGTGAGGCCCCTTGAGTAATCAACACTAGTGTAATATTAGTTAGAGAAAACATAGTAATGTCCCAGCAATAAAGCTTGAATCCATGCTTCCACAGTGTTAGTAAGAGGTACTGTAGCAACTGTGTCATTTGTATTGCTGGACTGTGACTCTGTTTTCATAGAATAAAATTGATTAGATTTATAGAAATAACCTGCCCTTTTGCCCCAGATGTAAGACTTTGTCAAAATTACAAAAAATGTTGGTCCTACTTTACTATAAAAAGATATAAAAAAGAAAAAGAATCGATTTATACTGATTTTTTTTTCTAATTTCAGAAATCACAATTCAGTTCACCCTAGACGACACTTTGATCCAAATTTTGATTTAGAAGATGAACGTAAGTGTAAAATTCATAAATAACTTCGAGTGAAACAGTGGTATTAATTTAAAAACTGCCACATTATTTTTATAACTATTTCAAAACTTCATTTTCTCTGGAAAGATGTCATAAGTCTTTAAACAATATAAAAGTGACTTAAAACCTTAGCAGCCACATCAGCAAATTTATAACCAGATTGCCTAGTTACTGGAAACATTGCCTCGAATGTGGTATCTGTTGCTTTTATACCATTTCCCTTCAAGCAGGCTTCAAAACTTAAAACTTAAAAAATATTTTCTTCACTTGCGAAACGTTTATATGAAAAAAGTTTATAAGTGAGGAATAATAAATTTTTGAATTCTAAATGCTGAGCTATATATTTAAAATTTGGGTTATGGGGTAAAAGGGAGATAACTTGCTGGAAATGGGATGTTATATAACTTGTAATAAAAAAAAATTGTAAATTTTGTGTTCACGATTTGTATGGTCCTTCTTCTCTGATGATAATTTCAATAAAATATATTTGCCTGCTGGGTTTCAACTTATTGCCTGCTTAAAATTCATTTCTAAAATAGTAGTTCACATGATATTAAAGGAACTCCATTGAGGTTTTTGACATGACAGGACTTATAATACCTTTTTGAGACAATTGTTCAATTTGATAAAGGTAAAGTCCAATAATATGTATGCAAAATTTCATATCATTTGCTCACTCCATTTTTCCTGAATATTTATTCTAATTGTGAAAAATGACCCGAATTTGAAAAGTGTTCCAACCATTTCACTCAAATTGGGCTCAGAATGGCACAAAATATTACTTTTAATTTCTGAATTTTTTTTTTTGATTATATTTTGTGTATCTTTCTGTTATAAATGTCACAGTTTATATATTTTAGAAATTTGAATGTTATGGGTTTAGTCTTTTAGACCTCAGTGGAGTTTACATCCTTATTTTTCATTTTGGAACTACAATGTGCTCTAATTGGAGTTGTCTCCCTTTGTTCATTTGCTTCAATTTAAATGTAATGATCTTGAATGTTATTGAGGTAGCTATGTGTTCAGTATTATATCAGAGTTTCCAAATAAGTTTTATTGTTTAATTAATCTTTAATAGAAACATAACTTTAGCAGGTGGTCATGATAATTATGTTTATAAATTTTAATTGTTGTGGCACCTGGAAATTAATCAAATATGGATGGGAAATGGTTAATATTTTTGTTGAAAATTGTTGCTTATACTTAATTGTAAGAAAATAATTCATGAAAATTTTCAATTCATAAAATTTGTTATTATTAATGAAATGATAAGTTGTATATCAAATAACAAAAGCTGTACTGGTCAGGGACCATCAACCGGACACTTTTTGAACATTTTTCTATACAAATTTCATAATTTTAAAGCTAGAGGTACGAAAATTTGACACAGTACAGCTAGGTTCTTCTCCTTACTAACAAACTAGTTTGTTTAGTTCTGATTATGTTGACACTTATATCTGAGGCTTGACAAGGATGGTATCAAAATTACCTAAATTGTACATACTACAGTACCATGTGTCCGGACAGATATGTAATAACGTTGATTTAATTCAGATAAAAGCTTTGGTGTTCTTTTTTTATTTTTAACATGACACACAATATTTCAGCAGCAAATGCTGAAGTTTTGGATATTCTATTCTTTACTTTGCAAATAATTATTGCTGTTATATGAGGTCAGGCATTGCTTTCTTGACCCCCAAATTTCAACGTCAACATTCTTGAAATAGACATTAAAATATTACCATTTACGGAGGTTGAAATAAATTCATTTACTTAATTATAGAAGAAACATGTATTTATTGTTGATAAAAAAGTGACTGACAACCACTGAACAAAGAAAATTCTAAATCAAGCATTTTCGGGGCCGTCCGGGTTTGGTGGTTGTCCGGTTTTCGTGGTCCCCAACCAGTAGTAGTAGCTAGAAATTATAATTTATAAGTTATTTATAAGCAAATATTTTTGAAAATATACTGTAGTTTGCATTATAGTTCTTAAGCCATAACTAGATGCTATAGAAAATTGATTATCATATGTAATTAATTACCAGCAGCTTCTTAGTACATAATAATCAGCATATCGTCACCTTAGTGCTGTAACGTTTTGATTGTCCTATTAAATTATATAAAGAGTTAACACGTTACTGCACTAAGGAGATAATATATGCATTATGTTGTTAATTATGGCAAAACTTTGTAACAGTAACTGTATAACTAGTTAGTGATTTAAACTAGTATCTATGATTGTAATGCCAGTTGTTTGTTTGTATACAAATATAGGGCACATATATAACGCAAATGCTTAGAAAATAATAACAAAATAGAAGAGAAATAGAAAAATTCTTATAACATAGATTTTCAACACACGTCCGGGAGAAACTGTGTCATTTATTTAGAAAATATCTGTAAACTATGATTGTTTTACAGTCAGTAGTCCGTTCTCACCAGAAAAGTATTCATTCAACCCGGAAACGGGGCGTGTACAGCCTCGGAATCGACAGTACCCCGCCGACCAATCTAGCTCATTACCAAAGATTAACAATAAAGGATATTTATTAGGTACATGTTTTTATTTAACCCCTGTTTCTTGCTTATATTGTTAGTATGATGATATAATGTTTATTAAACAGATAATCTACTAACATTCTAACTATAGATTAACTTCACAATGTTGTTACAGTGTTTTAATGCTTTCTATATGACTTTGTGCTTACAAGTACTGATATCTGCAAACACTCTTCATTTACGGAGAGAGAAAAGTTGTGTATTGAAATTGATATTTCATACATGCTTCTTATTTATCACTGAAGAAAGTAAATTTTTTACCTGTTAAACATGATATTGATGTTTGGAAACATTCTCTTTAGTTATTGAAGAACCAGTTTTAAGTATTGAAAATTATTTTTGAAAATTCTCTTCATTTTATGGAGGTGCAATAAGTTGTTATTAACATTATATTATGATATCTGCATGATGTCATCGGCATTAAGCAACTGAGTACATGGAGTAACAAGCTAATGGGTTTTAATGTATTTCAATTTGAATTTATACTTAGTACTATTACTTTGTTCCTAAATTTCTTGACAGAACTCTAGATAGATTGACTGGTTAAAATTTTAAAATATCTAGATTGGGATGAGAAGAACAGCAACTTCGTTCTGCTTTATCTCTTATATTTTTTTAGAATTATGAAGATATACACTGAAATTTTAGATTCTATTCAAATAACTGTAAGAATTTCATGAATTTTCATGTCCAGTATTGAAATATTATGTTGATCAACCGACCTTATAGCAAAATAAAATTATAATTTCTAACATGTTTAGAGATTTTTATGTGGACAGTTACGAAAGTAAAGCTACATTTTCAAAATAATTTCTTTACAATGTCAAGTGAATTGGGTAGCATATTTTCAGACTGAATTGGTGAAAACTTACTAAATTTTATCAAGAAATTCCCAAAATCATTTCCAAGCCTGTCTCCACCCACTTTAGCTCATTAGGGTAAGCATGAAGTTGGTAATTCAAGGGTCACTGTGCTTCAATCCTTGGGCAAGGAAAAATTTCTTCATTTGGTCATTTCATCATGTGATATTTAGTCATGGGCATTAATTTAAGTCTAATCGTCATTTGTCTCTCACTGCTGATTCAGAATTCAAGTGGCAAAAGTTCAGAGAAAAGTCAGAGAAAACTGCTTATTACCGGTTAGTTATCTAGGAAAGCTTGTCAAATAAATTGTCTGCCGAGATATGACCAAATATGTGTTAGAAATGGCTTAATAAACAGAAAAACAAACTTCGAGTTACCAGTGCTGGCATATGATTAATCAGAAGCATGGCTGATGGCCTTAAGCAGGGCTCAAACCTTTTTGCCCTGGTTTACAGGCTGAAACATAACCAACAGGCCAGTCGGTGGTTCTACTCAGGTGCCCGTGTATGCCTGAAATAATGCGCGGAAGAGCACCTTAGGTCTTCCTCCACCAGTAAACATATGACTTATACTGTGTCAATGTAATGTAAAACCCAATAAACAGGCCTTAAATTTAAATGGACAGATTATATAGTACACAAAAACCAACAGTCAAGGCAAAAGCATCTAATAGCTAATTGATACCGGTATTTGTGTGTGGTTTGATGAGTTTGGCTAGAAATAAAAATGATTTTCTTTCTTTTTTTGGCTAATTTTGAGGCTTTTAACTGATGTTGGAATGGGTATATTGGAAGTGTTGCTTAGTAACTATATATATAGCTCTGATACCTATACAGTGCTTATGCATTTAGAAAAAAGAGGAAACAATTTTATTTCAAAAATATGTACATGTACTTTATTTGGCATGAAATAGATCTACTTATGTTGAAAAATAGTTACTGAATGTTTCTTATTAAAATCATACTGATTTTGAAAGGTGACTTTTGCTATTAAAATGGTTTCTCATACTCCTAAATCAACATTTCAGAGAAAAAAAACTTCTGATTATGATTTACCTACCTTAATTATGATTTTTTATGTTCAGTTATTGTAGAAATACAGTCATAAAGTAATATTTTGTGATAATTTCACCTTGTACTTTGGAATTGTCAGCTTATATATGAGAGATTTTGCTGACTGTGTGTCAGTCATTGAAATTTATTGCTAAATTGTTATCAGTATTAAAATACCCTTTCATTACATATGTAAATTTAGTAGTTAAAATTTATTGCTATGTCCCAAATTGCTATTTAAGTGGAAGTATAACTGATATTTTTTTTGCAATTTTATGAGATAATCCTTATAAAAAAAGAGAATGAAAATTCAAATTTTATAAATTCAGTATTGTATTGCCTTGATGAACTGAGTGAGCATGTAGAATTAGATAAGATTTTTTTTCTCCTGTTTCCACAAAATATCTTAAATGGACTTGTCCATCATTCAATCTGGCCAAAACCTTTCATTATTTTTAGGGAAAACTTCAAAATAATATGTACGTACTGAGTAACAAGCAGTGCAGACCATGCTCAGACAGCATGGATGTGCTGGCACTGATCACAGGGGTAGATTCTGCAGGCTATGTTTTCAACCAGCCTGTTTCCTTTCACTTAATTCATAAACATGTTGATCGGCCATTTTTAACATAAAATCATTTGGGTTTTTTTCGGATTCAACCTTTTAAGATGTACTAGTTACAAATTTTACTGATATCTTTGTTATTTTTTTCCGTTAGTAAACAAGAGAATATTGTAATAAGATGGCTATATCTACTTTTGAGTGGAGTTTACTAACAAAATTAATCTTTTTTTTTTTGTAAAATAAGCTTTTCTGATTTTTGATTTGGAGTTGATAACACAATATTTATTTAAAATTGTTGGTAAAATACTTAAACCTATGTTTTAATAAGAGAATAAAGTGTCACTCAAAAGTAGATACAGTATAACTCTTCCTTAAAACCAAAAGATTGATCTCTTGTGAAAGACAATGATAAGGGGAAAAATTTAAACAAAAACAATTTTTAAAAAAGAAACTTTTTCCATTTTGATGTAAAGAGTTGTTCAAAAATGATAAAGAAACAGTGAAAATTCAAACTGTTAATATTTTTTCAGCCATGAAATCAATGCTAAAAAAATCATTGCAATGCATGTTTTTCTCACATTTTCTTTTCACTTTTCCTGGCTCAAATTATATATGTGAAACTGCTTTAGCTCATATTATATGTGAAACTGGCTCAAATTATATGTGAAACTGTTGCATATGATAATATATACTTGGCACAAATGATAAACTGAATTTGCACCTCTCAATTCCAATTGCAACAAATGAAGCTCACCAGTTTTTAAGTAATTAACACTAAAGCTTTTAACTGTTTTATGCCAAGGGGAGGTTCACTTTAGACGGGTTCTTCTGTATTAAAAAAGGAAAATCACTCCACTGGATATTATTCAACTGTGTCTGTTTTTATTCAAATATTTTCACAATAAGTTAGGAATATAAATAATTCATCACAGATGAGAAAATTATATTTAAAATTTTATCTTAATCTTATAAAATCTGTTCATGAATAAACTTATTATACGTAAAGAATAAACTTATTATTCATAAATTTTACCCATGTTTAGAGGATACGTTTTGTATTTTTGTTCTTGATTATTATGTAAATACAAGCTGATATTTGCTTCTATTAAATAACCAACTCTTTATCTTTTTACTTCCATATTAATTATTTCCTTAGTCATCTTTCATAAATTTTATAACTTTATAATTTTCATTAACATTTTTATATATTTAATTAATTAATTTATATTTCCATGCAAGTGTTGTCCACTCCTATGTATGCCAGTGATAATTGTACGAGTGGTCAGTGACGTCACTTAAGTAAACAAACGTTTATGTCAATTAAATGTAATATTGTTGCGTTTTATTTATGACAGGCCACGGTGCTCCGATCATACTTTCGAAGGAAAAACGCACTGTAGAGAGTATCAAAGCGAGGCTTCGAATACCAACTAGTATGATCATGGCATAATTAACGAAACTTTTCAAAAACGGGAGAAATATTAAAAAGAAAATTTTTTAGAAACCATGAAAATTAATGTTGAGAATATTTTTTTTTATAATGGGAATACTAAATATTTAACAATTTAGATAACATGTAGATAAAATTTTACTGAGAAATTGAATTAAAATACAAAATTTGTGGATGATAATTTTTTGTTACACATCACAATAAATAAAAAATAATAATGATAATTTGAATTTCAAACTTGTTAAGATTTATACTTGAATAGATTGCTTGTTGGTATTTTCCCGAAAAAGCTTGCATGCGTGTGCAGTGGCTACTATTTTTAGCTTTGGAGATGGGTTTATTTATGGATTGTGCTGATATGTATAATATACAGATTTGTGTAACATTTCTAACTTTTGTAAAGACGCATCAAAAATTGTGGCTGTGGTACAGATTTAAGAGTGAATATAATTGTCACAATTTTTGAGTTGTCTATCTGTTACAATTGTTGTCTTGTAATCAATGTCTAAATGTAACAAGAGTTTTTGGACTTACTTGAAGACTAAAATAATAATTTTCAAGAATTAATGATACAGATTATAGAAAAATTATTTTGCAGCTATTTATTTACCTTCAAGTTATTTGATATTGTTTTTTGTTTTTTTTTTAAGTATATAATTTTTTTCTGTCATCTAATTTAAAGATTTTATTTTTCATTTTTATGTAAGCTTAGCTCTGAAGAATGTATGAATGTCTAGTTTATGTTCTAATGAAGTTTAGAACGTAAAAAGTAAGCAAATAGTTCTTCTATCCGAACCTCACAGTCCATACAGATTTCTTAAACTTACAGATCATCCAAAATTACCACTTTCAAAATATACTGTTATTGTATATCATGTCCTTTGCATAATTCCTGTTATGTTCTTCAGAGTTATGGCCCCTGGATATTTAAAAAAAAAGCAATTATATGAAAAAGCTATTGGTTGGTTTAGCCATCTTCTTTCTTTGTAAATTTGAAGAAATTTTTAACAACTAGGGATGATAAACAGTGATGTATCTTCTTAACATATTTATACCCCCAAAAACGAAGTTTGGGGGGGTATATAGGAGTCACCCGGTGGTCGGTCGGTCGGTCGGTCGGTCGGTCGGTCGGGCGGTCGGTCGGTCGGTCGGTCGGTCGGTCCAGACGGCCGTTGCATTTTCCTTGTTCGGAGCATAACTTGAAGAGTAATGGTTGGAATTCAATATTACTACATACAATGGTCAAGCACATTGAGAGGAAGTGCAGTGCACAAGAACCAAAACTCTATCTTGACTAATTACAGAGTTATTGCCCTTTGTTACTTTTCCTTGTCCGGGGCATAACTTGAAAACTACTGGTTGGAATTCAAAACAACTTCATACAATTGTCAAACACAATAAGGGGAAGTGCAGTGCACAAGAACCATAACTCTATCTAAAGTAATTACAGAGTTATTGCCCTTTGTTGCTTTTCCATTGCTTTTTTTTTTGTCCGTTGCATTTTCCTTGTCCGGAGCATAACTTGAAGACTAATGGTTGGAATTCAATATAACTACATACAATGGTCAAGCACATTGAGAGGAAGTGCAGTGCGTAAGAAACATAACTCTATCTTGACTAATTACAGAGTTATTGCCCTTTGTTACTTTTCCTTGTCCGTGGCATAACTTGAAAACTACTGGTTGGAATTCAAAACAACTTCATACAATTGTCAAACACAATAAGGGGAAGTGCAGTGCACAAGAACCATAACTCTATCTAAAGTAATTACAGAGTTATTGCCCTTTGTTGCTTTTCAATTGCCTTCTTTTTTTTGTCCGGAGCATAACTTGAAGACTAATGTTTGGAATTCAATATAACTACATACAATGGTCAAGCACATTGAGAGTAAGTGCAGTGCATAAGAACCATAACTCTATCTAAAGTAATTACAGAGTTATTGCCCTTTATTTCTTTTCCATTGCTTTCTTTTGTCCGGACCATAACTTGAAGACTAATTGTTGGAATTCATTATAACTTCATACAATGGTCCAGCACATTGAGAGAAAGTGCAGTGCACAAGAACCATAACTCCATTTTGACTTATTACAGAGTTACTGCCCTTTGTTTCTTTTCCTTGTCCAGAGCATGACTTTAAAACTACTGGTTGGAATTCAAAACAACTTCATACAATGGTCAAGCACAATAAGGGGAAGTGCACTGCACAAGAACCATAACTCCATCTTGACTAATTACAGAGTTATTGTCCTTTGTTACTTTTCCATTGCTTTCTTTTGTCCGGACCATAACTTGAAGACTTATTGTTGGAATTCATTATAACTTCATACAATGGTCAAGCACATTGAGAGGAAGTGCAGTGCATAAGAACCATAACTCTATCTTGACTAATTACAGAGTTATTGCCCTTTGTTACTTTTCCTTGTCCAGAGCATAACTTGAAAACTACTGTTTGGAATTCAGTACAACTTCATACAGTTGTCAAGGACATTCAAAGGAAGTGCAGTGCACAAGAGTCATAACTCCATTTTGACAAAATACAGAGTTACTGCCCTTTGATACTTTTCCTTGTCCGAAGCATAACTTAAAACGTACTGGTTGGAATTCAAAACAACTTCATACAATGGTCAAGCACAATAAGAGGAAGTGCAGTGCACAAGAACTATATAACTCTATCTTCAGTATTTATAGAGTTATTGCCCTTTGTTCTTTTTCTTTGTCTTTCTGGACTTATTACAGAGTAATTCAATTAAACTTCATCAATGGCCAACCACATTGAAAGGAAATGCAACATACATGAACCACAATTATCTTTAATTGCCCACAACCATAACTCTATGTTTCAATTCTTTTACAAGGTATTCTGTTACTAGTAACATCCTCATTTCCGAAGCAGACTTGTGGGGGTATTAATCACATTTAGTGATAGTTCTAGTTTTTATAAATTTGAAGGCATTTTATCTGATTATTTTTAAAAGATAATAAAATGATTGAAAATACCAGCATTAAGCCTCTGCTGATTATCTGTAGACAACTTTCGGGCACAGAAAGGCGAGCCAATTCCTGTTAAAACTCCGAACCCATTCAGTGTGGAAATGGAAGATACATGGACACCTTACGTGACGCGGCAGTCAACTGTTATATCGCCAATAGGGCGGGCAGGCAGTAAGTCTCCAGCTGTCCCATTTTCACCACGACGGTACACGATGAAAGCGAGTGAATCGCCAGATTTAACATTGTACCCTGTTTCCCAAGGACTTATTTCACCAAGATATGGTACAGGACTGGGGGGTGGGCGGAGTTACATAAATTACCTCTAAATGCATGGAAGTCTAAATCACTTCTTCACTTACTTTACTTAAATTATGCATGAAACTTGCATATCTAAGAAAACTGTGACACAAATTAATGATTAATGGAAAGTGTTGGGTTTGTTAATTTGAAAAACAAAAAGATACGGGTGAGTGATATTGCCAGAAATAGAATGACATTTAAAAATAATATAAATAGACCAATTTTTTTTAGAAATTTTCCCAGATTTTTAAAATCTTTTACAAATTTCTTCTTTGTATCAAAGTTGAATAGACTGTTGCACTGATAATTTCATAATGTTCAAGCATTGTCATGATTACTGTCAAGATTTTTGAATGAACGAAATTTTGGTAACTGAATTTTGATTTATTGGGCTCGTTGCTGTTGAAAAAAAAAGGCGACATACAGTATTATAAAAGCAAATTTTCAATAATTTTCTTCTTATTTCATGTTGTTCTCGCATGTTTTCAATTGTTAACATTCACATAGATTTATGGATTATAAGATTTTGATATATTTGATCAATTCGATGAACTTCAAAAGCTATTTTTGCATGCAGTGTTTGATACTTTGACACATTAATTTTAGAACAATCATTTTTAATCAAACTAGTAAAAAGTTTTGAAAGTGGCATGATTGATTATTATTTTTGTTTTACAGTTAGAAGCATGTTGCATGGTTTTTGACCATTTTACGGGTTCTGTGTGTGAAAGTTGTAACTTTGTGTAATCTATGGTGGCTGAATTGTGCCATGTTGAATTTCGGCTCCATGGGGAGCAAGACAAACCTACAAGGATACTATAAAATGGTGAACTTAACATATTTTCGCCAAGCAAAAAGAATACGACATGGTATATCAACCACCATAATAATCAGTATTCACATCATATTCTTTTTTATGTAATAGCCAATGCATGTCTGATATTTTTTTCTTTCTTCATTTATCATAACTGTACCAAAAATATTGAGAGAAAAATCCATTTTACACCCTTTTGGAAGTAGTCATTTTGACCAATCCAATAAAAGTCAATACCTGCAAAAGTGTAATAACTGTATAGTGAAAAGTATTTTTTTGATATTCAATTTAGAATAGACAATGTAATGTTTCTTTTTCAATTAGAGAAACAGACATTTTAATCTGTTCTTTGATCAAACAATTTTCTGGTGATTTAACTGAATTGTTAATCAAACAGACGTTGTCAAATTTTATGCAATACACCAAAGCTTAATCCTGTGAAGGATTAAGGGTATTTTCAATCCAATAATCTTAACATAATAAATAAGATCTCTGTTTTATAGTTCAAGCGATCTGACAAGTTCACGAGATCTTTACGACGTCATTTCAAGCATATTTTTTGTTATATTCTCGTAATTCCCTAGTCATCAATTTTAATAGCTCTATGTTATCTTGTTTCAATACCCCTTTGAGAAAACATAATGTTTCTTAAAACGTAAAATAGTGTGAGATAAGACTCACCATAATGTGTGAAATAGAAAATGAACTTGTCGCGAGGAAAATGGATGGATATAAAAGAAAGAAAGTGCCGCCAGCTTTGAAAGATGTTGGATTAGGGGGATTAATGCTGAAAAGGCTTATCAGTAAGATGTTTAACCTTTTTATACTGTCATGTATAAAAATATAGAATTTGTTAGACGTCTTTGTTTCAAGTTTTGATGATTCATATAATATATGCACATTTTTTCCTTAACACACACATACTTTAAGATGATATTCATTTTAAAGTTGGAACATAATTGAAGATTTTTTGACTCTTTCATTATAATTATAAAGTTTCTTTTTGTGAAACAAAAATGTTTTTAGTTATTTTATTATATTTTTTTCAAATTGTTTTATTATGATGATCACATTATCACAACATGTTTTCAAGAATTTTGAACATAAAACTTTACTTCATTGGACCTATATAAATAATATTTAGAATTTAAATATTGGCCTTCTAATATCAAAATTTAACATGCCTTAAATTTTGTCACAGTTTTTATCCCAATTTTTTTCTCCAGGAATTGCAAAAAATTGTTTGACAAAATTAATGATCACACTCACAGAAAAAAACATTACCTCCTTTTTTAAGTTTGGTGAAATGAATGAGAGAATGGTCCTTTTTCTTATTATAATATATATTAATATTGTTAGTTTATTTTTATACCATACATTGTATGTGTTATACAATTTTTTTACCATATGTATTATATATTTGTTTTAACATATGTTTTATACTCTATGTATCTTTTTGTCCCAATATTGTTTCACATTTTATTTAAGTTTTTGTATCACCAAATAAAATTTTAAGTATATTTTGTATTTTTTTGTGAACTTACTAGCATACATTTGCTCCAAAGAAGTTCAACAAGCTTTATAATATTATATAAGGGTTAAATTATAACGCCACATGCCAGAGAGTCAAATTTTATCATGGAGATGAGGAATTATTCTTCAGCACAAACATTTCTCTTCTTTTTTTTATGTATTTTTTTTTATATAAAATTTAAGTTTAAATTTGGAAGAAGTCATTAATTTTTAAGAGAAATGATAAACTATAAAAGAAATTTCATGGTATTATGTTGAAAGCTGTTACAATGGAACTAAATAAAAGATATTACTATGGTTGTGAAATTTGGGGTCTCATATTGAAAAATCGCTGATACGGATCATTTCATCACAAAATGTAAGATATATGTTGGTTGTTCCAATAGTACCGTTGTTAACTTGCTCCTTGTTTGTTACCGTGACTTTCTCGGACCTATAGAAATATATCTGTCTATACTAGAATCTAAATATTGACCTTCTGAAACCAAATTTTAACTTACTGTAATTTTTGTTGTAGTTTATCCCCAGTTTTATGCAATGAATTGTATCATAGAGTTGTATCATTTATCCCCTTATTCATTTTTTTTTATTTTTACTGAAAAGTTTACTGAAAAAGTGAATGAGTTTTTCTGTAGGTCCAAACATTAATATACAGATCACATAAAACCTAACTCTATGTAATTGTAATGTCTATTTTGAAATATTCACAATTTTGTTTGGATATTATAAACAATCATATATATATATATATAACAATATAACATTATCATTTATAATTTAGGTTCAGGGTAACACAGAAAATACAATTTTTAGTGATAATCATACAAATAAATTACTTTTTGAGAATTTATTATTGTAAAGAAAATCATAAATTTTAGTAATCTCGAAATTTGAACAAACAAGATTCTTTAATATCAGTAGTCCTTAAAGATCCTGTAACACATTATTTTTATGGTTTTATATACAAATTAAATTACATACATATATAATTCAATGAAGAGTGGTATGCAATCTCAATTACAAAACATACAGGATCTTTAAAGATTATTACATCAAAACTAATGACCAAAATTGATGATTTTAAGGAAATTATTTTGAAAAATTATAAAAGAGAAATAATAATGATTAAATAACTTTGTAAGATATTAAAAAAATAGTATATCATGAGCACATACAAAATATTAGTACTATCTTAAGTTTGGAGATATGCGCTAGAGAATGGGATCCTTTTTTGTTAAAGCAATTTATATTTTCATTGTGTAATACAAATATTTGTTTGTTACAATCTTTCTGTCTGAAAGCAGAATGAAGATAAATGATAAAAGGTAACTATATCATGCAAGGATGTTTATGGTTATGGAATTTAATGATTTATACCATTCCATTAGCTGTTGTTTGTTTCCTTCTGTATACTGTATATGAAAATAATTATGTAAAATATATTGGTCACATATAAGGGGAGAATAATGATTGGTTACTGAAATAATTGATATTACATTCTTAAATAAGTAATGTATGTTACATTCTTAAGGAATGCATGTTACATTTTTAAGTAATGTGTGTTATATTTTTAAGGAATGCATGTTACATTCTTTAGTAAAGTATGTTACATTCTTAGGAAATGTATGTTACATTCTTAGGAAATTTACATTACATTCTTAAGTAATGTATGTTACATTCTTAAGTAATGTATGTTACATCATTAATTGATGTATGTTACATTCTTAAGTAACATTTGTTACATGCTGAAGTAATGAACATAATAATGAATTACAATTTAGAGTAATTGTTTAAACATCAATATTTCTTGATTTCTTTAATAATGACAAAACAATATTCAGGTCATGTAAGGGGATAAATAGTTGTATGTAATGTATGTTACACAATGAGATTATGTAGTTGTTGTTGTAATGAAGTAATGCAATTATATAAGCATCAAGATTTCTTGGTTTCTGTCCAAATTTAGTATACCAGAATATTAATATTTCACTTGACCTATTAAACTTTAATTATAAAGGTTAGATCCAAGTATTATAATGACATTTAATGTGCCTTAATCTGATTAATAATATGAATGATAAAAATATTAATAAACCAAACATTATTTTTTTTAAACATTGGCAAGGGGGTGGGGGTGTTTGTTCCATTTTCCGTGATATTACATGTATTTCTTTTTTACACAAATTTTACTCTTTTTTTTCTTTAAAGACAAGTGTTTCTTTTAAGAAAAGAATAAAGTATTATTATAAAAAGAAAGAAAAAAATTAAGCTTTTTTTTCAAAACTTACTATATTAAAGATTACATTGAGGAAAAAATTATCTTTTTTTTAAACGTTTAGCCTGAATGTTTGGCTAAAATTGCACATTACTTGCACGAGTGATCTATGTATACAGAGAGTGAGGTAGTTTTTGACTTGCATCCTAATTTAAAATGCTTTCATGTATTGCACATTGCACTAACTGACATTCTAATCTGCACACTCTCGTTGTGTACCTTATATTCATTTTATATCAGGTTGATTTTGTAGATAAACTCTCTTTAAATTATTCATTTACACCCAATTGACATTAAAAACATGTATATTTACAAGGTATTTTAACAAATAAGGAAGTTTTATTTCAATGTTACTTCGTTGTGTATTTATCTGTAAAATACAAATTTATAGAATGTATTATTAAAATAGAAAATGGGGGATTGGTGGTATTACAATAGAAATTTGGGAATGGGTGGGTATAATAACAGAAATTGGGGGCTGAGGGTGGGTATTATAATAGAAATTTTTGGGGGATGGGTGGGTATTATAATAGAAATTGGGGGCTGAGGGTGGGTATTATAATAGAAATTGGGGTATGGGTGGGTATTATAATAGAAATTGGGGGATGGGTTGGTATTATAATAGAAATTGGGGGATGGGTTGGTATTATAATAGAAATTGGGGGATGGTGGGTATTATAATAGAAATTGGGGATGGGTGGGTATTATAATAGAAATTGGGGGCTGAGGGTGGGTATTATAATAGAAATTGGGGGATGGGTTGGTATTATAATAGAAATTGGGGGATGGGTTGGTATTATAATAGAAATTGGGGATGGGTGGGTATTATAATAGAAATTGGGGGATGGGTGGGTATTATAATTGAAATTGGGTGATGGGTTGGTATTATAATAGAAATTGGGGATGGGTGGGTATTAAAATAGAAATTGGGGATGGTGGGTATTATAATAGAAAATTGGGGTATGGGTGGATTTGGGGAATGGGTGGGTATTATAATAGAAATTGGGGTATGGGTGGGTATTATAATAGAAATTGGGGGATGGGTGTGTATTATAATAGAAATTGGGGTATCATGGTGGGTATTATAATAGAAATTGGGGGATGGGTGGGAAGGGATTTTCATGAATTATGAAACAAAGTCAGCCTGAATTCCTGTAATTGATTTAATTTTGTATGACTCAATATTTCATTTTCATTGGCTTATGATTTCTGCAGGTGTAAAGGGAAACAACTCATGCTTTCTAATCTATGTAGTTTAGAACAAATACATTAATTTTTGTAATTATTTTCTTTTACAGAATATTTCATTTAGTGATACTTGGATAAGCAAAAGTCAAAGATTCGTTTTTATTTAGCTTTTATAATATTTTGTAATATTAGAAAATTGATAAAGTTAGGCATATTTTGTATTTTATTTTTAGATTCGGAAAATTGGGTAGGGATATTAATATGTGCATTTGAATAGCTATAATACAAGAATTCAGCTTTAGTTTTGCTTTGCTAGTGATTAACAATGATTTTCTTACCAGAAAGCAATCTTTTACAGACACTGGTAAAAGCGAATATTTGGTATGGTGTTTTAAAATGTGAATGTTATATATACACCTTAATTCAATATGCCATAATTTGGTATATGTAACTTGATTTGGTAAAGCATACCTTATTTTGTTATACATGTATTTATACCATGATTTGGTGCATCTATACCATAGTTTGGTGCATCTTTCCCAAAATTTGGTGCATCTTTACCATAATTTGGTGCCTCTTTACCATAATTTAATGTATCTTTCCCATAATTTAGTGCATCTTTAGTACCATAATTTGGTGCATCTTTACCACAATTTTATGCATCTTTCCCATTATTTGGTAAATTTATACCATAATTTGGTGCATTTTGACCATAATTTTGTGCATCTTTCCCATAATTTGCTGCATTTATACCATAATTTGGTGCACCTGTACCATAATTTGGTGCATCTGTACCATAATTTGGTGCATCTTTACCATAATTTGGTGCATTTATACCATAATTTGGTGCATCTTTACCATAATTTTGTACATCTTTCCCATAATTAAGGCACATTTTAAGATATTCAGGTATAACTTAACCTTATATTGGTATGGTCAATATAATTTTTTGTACTTATACAATGTTTTAATGCATATACCCTAATTCTAGGCATATTGGTAACTTGGTGTATAAACTGCATTTTAAACACCATTTGAAATTGATACCATAATTTATTTTATAATAGTGATATTTTATATTATTCTTTAATTTTTTAACCAGGTTCTTCACAACCGGTTTATATGACCAGGTCAAAAACTAACGTCACAAATGGCATTCAAGGGAAACCGGCAGCTGGTGGTGCTAGGAGTTTGACAGCTATGCCTGCTAAAAAGGATGTAAATGTTAGGTCAGTATCATATAGGTTTGTTTCTTTCTTTTGTTTAACTGCACACCAACTCAGTACATGCCCCGTAGCAGGAAAGATGATTTTGGCTAACCTCTGGTGTTACATAACTTCAAAACAATGCCAGGAGTCAAAATCACCTTACCTGCTGGAGTAAAGAGATTCCAATTATTTCTTTTACGACCATGAAGGGAAAACTGGTGGCTGCAATTCTGTTGCCTCAACCATTAAAAGCCACCCTTCAGTGGCAAGGGGCATAATATAGGAAGAATAATAATTAAGCCATGTCACGACAAAACCAATCGAATGGGTTTGTGACCAGCATGGATCCAGACCAGCCTGCGCATCCGCGCAGTCTGATCAGGATCCATGCTGTTCGCTAACAGACCCTATAACAAGTAAAGAAACTGATAGTGAACAGCATGGATCCTGATCAGACTGCGCAGATGCGCAGGCTGGTCTGGATCCATGCTGGTCGCAAACCCATTATGTTGGTTTTGTTGTGACGCGGCTCATTTATAGTTTAGAATATAGATATAACTACTATTCCACAGTATTCCTGAAATATTGAATGTTGTATGAATTGGTAGAACAATGTAAATCTTACCAGAGCTTGTTAGCAATGCTTAATACACTGTAATAGAAAGTTGGTAATTATGCTTTTAGAAATAAAATATTTTTCAATTACTAGTGCATTGCAAATATGTTCAAATATAAAAGCTTTAGAAAAAGGATAAAAACTTAAAAGATAATAGTTAATTATGTTTTAGTTAATGGGTAAAATTGTACTTGAAGCATAAGTTAAGGAGTAAAATGTAATAGTTTTAGTTCAAGAGAAGTAGTTCTACTCTGACACTCTATCACATTGTCAGGAGCTTTTGTTTCTTAAATACACTTATTATATTATATAATTCTTCCCTAGCTAGCCTGCTTGATTGAAGTTAAAACATTTTTTAAGGAATATATTCTGAAATAAGGAGTTACATTCTACAATCTTCAAGATACAACAAAGAGCAAATGATTTCATAAAGATACTGGCTAAAATGATGTTTATGTAAACAAAATGACTATAATAGCTGTGTAAAATAGGAATACTGTTGAATCAGAATTTTAATCTATAAATTATATAGTTATTTATAAAAAAAATAGTAATGTACACAAAAAATATTAATAACCCCAAACTGTTGTTTTTGTCTGCTCATCTTTGCCAGTTTAATTAAACCAAATATATTAAATTTTAAAAATATTATATCATTACATATTATGTAACAGCTAATATTATTAGATCTAAAAAGAAAACAGAGAGACTTTCACTGCATTTATGCTTCTATTATATAAGCTGTAGATTACCCTAGTTTATAAACCCTTAATCTGCTGGAACTGAAAAAGATATACCGGTATAAGCCTTTGCCATCATTAGAGAGCCAGGCCGGCCTGAAATGCCCTTCAGTCTGACCAGACACTATACTGTTGACTGATTTACTTTGAAAGTTAATTTTGATATCCCCACGGTTCTGCAAGTTTGTTTAATAATTCAGCAGATTAGGGGCTAGTATATATATATTTTGTAAACCTGCATGTATTCTAGACCCACAGTAACAGCCCCACCCGCAAAACCTATTCCTGTTGCTGCTAAACCGGACATCAAAATTCCTGTGAGTGCCAGAGATCCGGAGGAACCAGAAGTTGCACCGGAATCAACACCGGTAGTACCGAAAACTACACCAGCCACATCAAAGAAGTAAGACAGAGTGATGTGCCCTTGTTTAGTGTTGTACTTACTGTGTATTTTGGTGTTTTATGTATTTACTAACATGTATTATTGTAATAACATGTGTGTGTTAATTTTTAGTAACATTATTTGGTAAATTATCGTTTACAATGTTACATGATTGTTATAAAGAAGTTATATTGTTCACAACATTCAGTAATATTTTATCAGGCTCCAGGATAGTTTTTACTGTTATTTTAATTACTTTATCGAATGTGATATTTAAAATATTGGCTTTTGAACTATGAGCAAGTAAATTCCCAAATTAGACCAAAGAAAAAAACTGATAAATTTTATTAAGTAATGAGGTTCAAGAGTAAATAATGCTATCTACGTCATTTTTTTGGGACAGTCCAGGTTGTATATAAGCCAGTGTAGGACAAAGCCCTCCCGGACAAAAGCCCTCCCGTGAAAATGACAGGGCTGACAAAAGCCCTTCCGCAGCAAATACACATATGTACGTTGAATAATTTGTATTTTCTTTTCAATGGCCATTATGCAATCAACATATCAAAATTATAATTAATCATGAATATTTTTGTTTTCCATTGGCATAAGTATGTTAAAGCATGAAATTGAGCACATTCCTGACAGGCATCTCAATAATAAGTGTAAAATCTGTAAGAGAATACTTATTCATGTAAATATGAAAGTATTATTCCCATGCGAAGTTAAGATTGATGAAAAGAAGTTTAAATAAACTAAGATTAAAAGTTCAATTACAATTTTAATATCTTGAGTGCATTGGGAAAAAAAATACAAGTATTTAACATACATGTATATTTTTGTTATGGTAGGGCTTTTGTTCGCCTTGTGAATTTCACGGGAGGGCTTTTGTCCAGGATGGCTTTTGTCCATTTGCAATATGAGCATTTCACTTGACCATTGTTTTGATAGACAAATTTATTTTATATTCTTATAATTACAAAATGTCAATGTTACTGAAACAATACATTACTAAAACAATGCTCCTAATTTGTTCTCTTCTCTTTCAAAGAATATACTATACTTGATTAGTATAATAACAAAACTATTTCTTCTGATTCAATTAACACTCCATGCAACTTCCTTAATTCCTTATGTGAGCATTTACAAAATGTATTTTAATCAAACTAAAAATATTTTAGCTTAGAGACTTTATTTTAAAATTACCTACGCATCACCAAAATCCTTAGCAACTTCTATCTTACTGTTTGTATGTGTCAGTTCAACTGTAATAGTTATGTTGATGTAATGCTTTCATCTTTAATACATAGAGGATATTTATTTGTTTTTGTGTAAAATTGTATTTCATAGAGTGAGCTTCAAAAACAGCATTCCCACTCACAACGTTTTAAGTATTAATATATAATTTTCAAAGTTAAATCAGTAATCCACTCAACAGCATAAAATAAAAACAATTATTTCAAGTTCCTAAAATTTGCAGTTTATTAGCTCACCTGTCACAAAGTGAGAGGGTGAGCTTTTGTGATCGCTTTTCGTCTGGCGTCCGTCCGTCCGGCGTCAATAAACTTTTACTTTAAATGACATCTCCTCATAAACCACTAAGCCAATTTCATCCAAACTTCACAGGAAAGTTCCTTTGGCAGTCACCTTTGAAAATTGTTCAAAGAATTTAATTCCATGCAGAACTCTGGTTGCCAATTGGCAACCAAAAGAAAAAACTTTAAATATTTTCTTCTTAAAAACCCAAAGAGCTAGAGCCTAAATATTTGGCATGAAACATCTTTAAGTGAGTTTCTACCAAGTTTGTAAAAATAAAAGCCCTTGGGTCAAAATTGGCCCGGCCCCAGGGGGTCATTGATTTTCCCTATATGCATATAGTAAAAACTTAAAAAATCTTCTTTTAAAGAACCCAAAGAGCTAGAGCTAAGATATTTAGCATGAAAAATCTTCTAATGGGTGTCTACCAAGTTTGTTCAAATAAAAGCCTTGGGGTCAAAATTGGCCCTGCCCCTGGGGGTCATTGATTTTCCCTATATGCATATAGTAAAAACTTAAAAATCTTCTTTTAAAGAACCCAAAGAGCTAGAGCTAAGATATTTAGCATGAAACATGCACTAATGGATGTCTACCAAGTTTGTTCAAATAAGAGCCCTGGGGTCAAAATTGGCCTCGCCCCGGAGGTCATTGATTTTCCTTATATGTTTATAGCAAAAACTTGAATAATCTTCTTTGAAAAAAAACAAATAGCTAGAGTTTAGATACTAAGCATGAAACATCTTCTAGTGAGTGTGCACAAAGTTTGTTCAAATAAAAGCCCTTGGGTCAAAATTGGCCCCGCCTCGGGGGTCATTTATTTTCCTTATATGTGTATAGCAAAAACTTAAAAATCTTCTTTGAAAAAACCTGAATAGCTAGAGTTTAGATATTAAGCATGAATCATTTCCTAGAAAGTGTCTACAAAGATTGTTCAAATAAAAGCCCTGGGGTCGAAACTGGTCCTGTCCCAAGAGTGTCATTGTTTTTACTATATGTGTAAAGAAAAAACTTAAAAAATCTTCTTTTAAAAAACCCAACGAGCTAGACCTTAGATGTTTAGCATGAAATATCTTCTAATGGGTGTCTTCTAAGTTTGTTCAAATAAAAGCCCTGGGGTTTAAAATGGCCCCGCTCTTGGGGTCTATATACAGGTGAGCGACTTCAGGGCCATCATGGCCCTCTTGTTAATATTATATTATGTTACATACACTGAAAAAGTGTTTATGATAATGGTCAAAGTTTGTAACCATTATTTTAAAAATCTGTAAATTTTCATTAATACAATTTGGAATTTAAACATGAAAATTATTATTTGTTCTCATTTTCTACTAATTTGTATTTATCATACAGCTTTGTTGATTTTTATGTCATCTTGAAATTTGTTTATGAATTGTGAAGTCTTACTGTTGATGTTGTGATAATATTTTAAAGGGCCATGGGTTATTATTGACATTGAAAGAAGGATATTTAATCTTAGAAGAGTAAAGTTTTCAAGTCAAAATCATTGCTATATTCATATGCTGTTTAATACAAATTAATGCTTTCACATTTTATCTGTTTTGTTTGTTGTCTTATTTTTCTCTGAATGTTTAATTTGTTTTTGTCTTAATGTTGTTCTAGTTTAGAGTTTTTTGTTTCCAGTGATGACATTATAGAAGAAGAGACTGATATAACAATAGATGATTGGTAAGAGTTGTGGAACTTAGCTCCACATCTGCAACAATTTAGTGGCATTACCCCTAAAATGTGGTTTTGCCAGTTGTGGCCCCTGAACATAGTGTGATGAACCCCTAATTTATCCAAATCATGTTAATGTTTCCGGTTGTGACCCTATTTCAGTTATGACACCATGCTTATTGTGTTGCCCATTTAGTGACACTATACCTAAAATCTGTTGCCAAGTTTTGCCCAAACCCTACCATAACACATTGTTAATTTCCTGAATTTCCATAGGAAGAGCTTAAAAGTGTAGTTCTTAAAATGTATGCCTCTTAACTTAGTGGTTACAAGTTCCAGACCAACTGGCATCTTGTTCATGATTACTCAAATGGCACCAGGACTGAATATAAAAGAAGTGAGATTTACATAACCTCAAGGGATTGTATATAATTGACTTTAAATAAATTTGTGTTGGCTGATAAATTTCCTTTATACCGGTAATTGTTTTATGTGTGTTACTATTTTACAACAGTTTTGAAAGGTCATACTGCTGGTCTAATTTATCAGGGGTTCTTTGCATTGTCAAAACATCTGTATCATCATTAGGATGTAATTCTGAATTTGTTAATTTGAAATACTGCATTAGTTAATTGTGAATACTGCATTTCTTAATTCGAAAAACTGCATTAATTTTGTTAATTCGAAAAAATGCATTAATTTTGTAAAAGGGGAATACTGCTTTGTAAATTAGAAATACTGTATTCCTTTATTGGGAATACTGCATTTTGTTAATTGTAAATACTGCATTAATTAATTGGAAATACTGCATTTTGTTAATGGGAAATACTGCATTTGTTAATTGGAAATACTGCATTTGGTATTTGGGAATACTGCATTTGTTAATTGGAAATACTGCATTTGGCAATTTGGAATACTGCATTTGTTAATTGAAAATACTGCATTTGTTAATTGGAAATATACTGCATTTGTTAGAAAATTTGCTAGTTTGTGTAAGGGACACTGTAATTAATGTATGTTGAAAAAATAGATATGCAATGCTTTATTTGTGTCATCCATGTTAACTTTGTACTAAGATAAAAGTATAAAAGTGATTGATTTTAACTTTTTATAGTTATGGATTATTTATAGCTATGTTTTATTGTAATTTTATCATCCCTTGTATGATATATGACATAAACTTTTGCTTACAATAATTAATATTTTAAGACTAGAACAGAATACCAAGGTAAACACCATGAATGCATTGTACATTCAGTAACATCATGTTTAGAAATAAATATTTATAAATAAATATAAATTAGTTGTCAAAATGAAACAATTGCATTTGATTCCATACAAATTATAGTCTTATCGACATAATTCATTAATTATTTTGTGTGTTGCCAGTTCATAGTCAAGTCAGTCAGGTGTCAATTGAAGTGTGTGCATGTGTTTTAAATTTGTACCTAAACCAAAAAAACATTAAAACATTATTTCTTAATATCTTCTTTCAACTTTAACTTTATTAACACCTCAACTTGTAAGTTTTATACTTTGTACATTGGACTTGCCACTATATTAGATTTTGTTTATCTGTTGCATTGTCAAAAACTTTGAAAATTATTTTAGAGGAATTAAAGTTAAGGCCAATTTTAATAATGTTTTAGAATTGTCTTTGTTTATATCAAAACGAATAGATTGACATTTTTTTCAATATGAAAATTAAATATGTAATATATAAACTTATTTTTATCAGTATTACAGGTACTATGCAATTATTAGAGCTCTTTTATATTTATTTACATTGCAGGGTTTCCCAGTCTTTTAAATCATTTTTTTTTACCATAATTTCTAAGAAACAAAAAGCAATTTCTTTTGTATGTTTTCTGAAAAAACATCAAATTAAAAAAAAAATTCTTATAAGATTATTTCGTTGTTGATGTTTTATTAACAGATATTTTATTATCTTCATGAATCTACATATTGTAAGTTGTCTTCAAATGAAGTCACTACATAGTCTATGCTGATAGTAATAACTACTGGAATAAAGAGAAAATATTGCAACAGACTTACTTAACTGAATAGCTAAAATTGTGTGTTACACATGTCTATATATGTATATTACAGGCCTGATGTACAGGAACAAATAGAAGAGCCAGGAACCAAGGACACTGAAGGTCAAGATGGAGCATTGTCAGCCTCTAGATCTGTGGCCAGTCCAGTTAAAGCTCAAACACCCAACCCACTAAAGGTACAAATTTATAAAATTGTCAAGACATCCAATCAAGCCATCCCAGATTTAAGTTATTGTCCATTCCATTATCACATTTTTTTGTTATAGTTAGTACAAATTTATGTTAATTTGATTGTGTTAGAAGCTATAAGCTTATTCAAACACTCTCAAATCCGTTCCTGGAACCAACCATGAATAAATGTTAAGATTCTTGCTCAAGGAAACAATGGCTTGCCCCTGACAGGGTTTGTACCCACATGGCCAGCAATCCTTAGATGACTAGTCAGACACATTAACCATGCAGCCACTGACTTGTAGTATTCATACAAACCATTTAAATGGTATGGTCTGACAAAAAAAGTAGATTAATACAATTTGTATGTTTCCATGGTTTCTGACAGAAATTCGTTTCTTTTTTAAAGTGTTTTAGTTTTCTAGATAACAAGATATGCAAATGCCTGAATAAAGATTGTGGAACATTTATTAAAGACTTTGGTCAACATCTGGTACAAATATGGCATTTTTTTTTTGGCCATGATAGTTGACTCATAGTAATTTTTTGTAGTGTTTGACTTGATGTTAAAATTTTGTGAAGATTCAATTAAACCCTTTATAGAATTCTGAAGGGGATTTTGTATCAATTTTGTCACCTTTCAAGGTTGTTTGTTTTACATTATGTAGAGCTTATTAGAAGTTCTGTTTGTTTTGCATTATGTTGAATTATTAGAAGTTGTGCATGTTTTTTCAGGCTGTTGAGTTAGTACAGAGTATGTCTCAGGATGAACAAGCAAGGCTAAAACAAACATTTAATAAACTAGACACTGATAAAGATGGGTAAATATTCTTTAAAACATTTCATACCTTTTGTAGCTCACTCTTTAACTAGCTTTAACTAAAATGGAGAACTACTTTTTAATAGCTAAAGTTCAATGTTTTTACGAGTATCACATTTCACCTCCTCTTTAAAAGTGAGAGCCACTTTTTAAAGAAAGTCTCATTTTTACCCTTTTGTAAAAGGGAGCCACTTTTTACCTTCATTTAAAAGAATGTTACATTTTTACCTCCTTATAAAAACGTTCTACCTTTTTACCTAGTAATAAATAAAGACATTTTTATGCCCCCGCCATGTAATGGCCGGGGCATATAGTGTTACCCTGTTCCGTCCTTCCGTCCTTCCGTCATTCCGTCCTTCCGTCATTCCGTCCTTCCGTCATTCCGTCCTTCCGTCATTCCGTCATTCTGTCATTCCGTCATCATCAGTTTCCGTTCATTATCTTAGTAACGGTTGCACACATTCAACTCAAATTTGACATATGGATATATCATGAGAAAATACAGGTCAAGTTCGAATTTGGTCATGGTTCGATGATTTTTGGCAGAGTTATGCCCCTTTTACTTTAAAATAATATGAAATTTTCAGTTTCCGTTCATTATCTCCCCAACGATACAACACATTCAACTCAAACTTGACATATGGATATGTCATGAGAAAATACAGGTCAAGTTCAAATTTGGTCATGGTTCGATGATTTTTGGCAGAGTTATGCCCCTTTTACTTTGAAAATAACATGAAATTTTCAGTTTCGGTTCATTATCTCCCCAAAGGTACAACACATTCAACTCAAATTTGACATATGGATATGTCTTGAGAAAATACAGGTCAAGTTCGAATTTGGTCATGGTTCGATGATTTTTGGCAGAGTTATGCCCCTTTTACTTTGAAAATAACATGAAATTTTCAGTTTCGGTTCATTATCTCCCCAAAGGTACAACACATTCAACTCAAATTTGACATATGGATATGTCTTGAGAAAATACAGGTCAAGTTCGAATTTGGTCATGGTTCGATGATTTTTGGCAGAATTATGCCCCTTTCACTTTGAAAATAATATGAAATTTTCAGTTTCTGTTTATTATCTCCCCAACAGTACAACACATTCAACTCATATTAGACATATGGATATGTCATGAGAAAATACAGGTCAAGTTCAAATTTGGTCATGGTTTGATGATTTTTGGCAGAGTTATGCCCCTTTTACTTTAAAAATAACATGAAATTTTCAGTTTCCGTTCATTATCTCCCCAAAGGTACAACACATTCAACTCAAATTTGACATATGGATATGTCTTGAGAAAATACAGGTCAAGTTCGAATTTGGTCATGGTTCGATGATTTTTGGCAGACTTATGCCCCTTTCACTTTGAAAATAATATGAAATTTTCAGTTTCTGTTTATTATCTCCCCAACAGTACAACACATTCAACTCAAATTAGACATATGGATATGTTTTTGGAATGCCCAGGCCAAGTTAGAATTTGGTCATGGTTCAATGATTTTTGGCAGAGAAATGCCCCTTTCACTTTGAAAATAATATGAAATTTACAGTTTCTGTTCATTATCTACCCAACAGTGTTACATATTCAACTCAAATTTGACATATGGATATGTCAAAGGAATGGGCAGGTCAAGTTGGAATTTGGTCATGGTTCGATGATTTTTTGGCAGAGTTATGTCCCTTTCACTTTGAAAATAATATAGATACATCTTAGGAATAAGCAGTTTAAGTTTGAATTTGGTCAAAAAATTTTGAACTTTCTGTTTCAGCACTCATACTTTTGTGGAAAGTTTGAATTTGGTCGTGGTTCAATGATTTTGGACAAACTTATCTTTCTTGAATGTTGGAAAATTTTTGAACTTTCAGTTTCAGCACTCATACTTTTGTGGAAATGTATGTAGCCATTATTTTGGCTACAAATATGAAATATGCTATTTTCAAAAGGTTAAGACTGAATAATTTCAGTGCTTTGAACATTGTATGAAAATGGTTTGTGTTAACATTGAAAAGTTTTAAGGGCTTTGAACTGCAAATGAAAAAATAATTTGTGCAAACAAATTTGGAATTAAATATTATAACATCTGAAATTTTGGCTGCATGCGGGGGCATCCGTGGCATGATGACACATTTCTAGTTGAAGCTCCTTCTTTCAAAATTAACTGATTTTCATCTTCTTATATATAATTGAGTTAAAAAAATGTTCCAAGTTGACACCACGATAATCTGGGTTTTTTAAAAGTTTTTCTGTTATTATTGTGTTGTCAATGTTATTTCTTTTGTTATCTGATAATTTATGTTATTTCTATGTTTTTATGCCCCCGCCATATAATGGCCGGGGCATATAGTGTTACCCTGTTCCGTCATTCTGTCATTCCGTCATCATCAGTTTCCGTTTATTATCTTAGTAATGGTTGCACACATTAAACTCAAATTTGACATATGTATATGTCATGAGAAAATACAGGTCAAGTTCGAATTTGGCCATGGTTTGATGATTTTTGGCAGAGTTATGCCCCTTTTACTTTGAAAATAATATGAAATTTTCAGTTTCCGTTCATTATCTCCCCAATGGTACAACACATTCAACTCAAACTTGACATATGGATATGTCATGAGAAAATACAGGTAAATTTCGAATTTGGTCATTGTTCGAGTAATGCCCCTTTCTCTTTGAAAATAATATAAAATTTACAGTTTCTGCTCATTATCTCCCCAACAGTGTTACATATTCAACTAAAATTTGACATCTGGATATGTCAAAGGAATGCGCAGGTCAAGTTGGAATTTTGTCATGGTTCGATGATTTTTTGGCAAGAGTTATGCCCCTTTTTCTTTGAAAATAATATGAAATTTTCAGTTTCCGCTCATTATCTCCCCAACGGTACAACACATTCAACTCAAACTTGACATATGGATACGTCAAAGGAATGCGCAGGTCAAGTTCGAATTTGGTCATGGTTCAATGATTTTTGGCAGAGTAATGCCCCTTTCTCTTTGAAAATAATATGAAATTTACAGTTTCTGTTCATTATCTCCCCAACAGTGTTACATATTCAACTCAAATTTGACATATGGATATGTCAAAGGAATGCGCAGGTCAAGTTGGAATTTTGTCATGGTTCGATGATTTTTTGGCAAGAGTTATGTCCCTTTCACTTTGAAAATAATATGAAATTTTCAGTTTCCGTTCATTATCTCTTCTAGGGTATTACACATTCAACTCAAATTTGACATGGATATGTCAAAGAAATGCCCAGGTCAAGTTTGAATTTTGTCATGGTTTGATGATTTTTGGCAGAGTTATGCCCCTTTAACTTTGAAAAAAAGGGAATTTTCAGTTCCCATTCATTATCTCCCCTACAGTTGTACATAATCAACTCAAATTAAAGATATGGATATGTCATAAGAATGCATTGGTCAATTTCCAAATTGGTCATGGTTTAATGATAGCTCTTGAAAATTGAAAAAAATTAGAAATTTTAAGTTTCTGTTCATTATCTCCCCAATGGTTGTACACATTCAACTCAAGTTTAACATATATATACATCTTAGGAATAAGCAGTTTAAGTTTGAATTTGGTCATGGTTCAATGATTTTGGACAAACTTATTTTTCCTGAATGTTGGAAAAATTTTGAATTTTCAGTTTCAGCACTCATACTTTTGTGGAAATGTATATAGCCATTATTTTGGCTACAAATATGCAATATGCAATTTACAAAAGGTTAAGACTGAATAATTTCAGTGCCTTCAACATTGTATAAAAATGGTTTGTGTTAACATTGAAAAGTTTTAAGGGCTTTGAACTTAAAATGAAAAAATAATTTGTGCAAACAAATTTGTAACTAAATATTTTATAACATCTGAAATTTTGGCTGCATGCGGGGGCATCTGTGGCATGATTACACATTTCTAGTGTTGTTATTTTATAATCAATGTTATTTCTTTTGTTATTTTCAGCCACATTATGTTCAGCCAGTTACAGACACAGCTTCCAAAACAGTTTAGTCAGGCACAAGAAAAATATATCAAACAGGTATTTTTATATCTTTCCTTCAAACAATATTTTGATGAATGTCTTTATTGTTTTCACATAACCATTGAGGCCTCTAAAAAAAAAATTTACGAATATAAACAATACTGTTTGGTCGTAAACTACAACTTTGTCATGTTTTATTTCAGGTGTATGACATCACCAGCTCGAACACATTTTTCGGTGTCGATGAATTTATGACAATGTCATACCTGACTAGCGTCGTCACAGATTTGACGTAAGTATAACATTATGTCAGTTAAATGACATATGAGTTCTTAAAATGTTTCTAAATTAATGATTATACAACATTTTATTATTATTATTATTAAAGTAATTAGGAAGTCCGTCACTGCATCATAAGTAAATTACATTGTTAATTGATTATTAATGTAACAGCACATTTGCTAACTGTACATGTAGGTCTAATCTTTGAATTTAAGAAATACTTATTGTAACAAAGATAAACTTAAATGATATTACATTTAAGTGTGTTGTTTTTAGAAATATTGTTAGAAAAACAACAACAACAAAAGAAAAAAGATTTGATGTAAATATCCTTTGATATGATGTTACTATATATTTTCTATTTGATTATTTCCAGCGGAGAGCCACTAGATGCCTACAACAAAATAGATTTTCATGGTTTACATGAAGTTATACTCAAATATGTGGTATGTAAATAATGAGACAATGATGACTCTAATCATCTGACTAAAGTGACTGTCAATTAGTCTTGCTACTGTTATTGCTTTGTATCTAAACCATTGACACACTTAATTCATCCTCAACTACTGTTTTAAATGTTGGTTAGTCCTTTTGAAAGAAGGTTGTAACTGGTATACATGTAGAATCATTTGGTTACTGCCCCAGGTCTATTACTGAACTAAACTGGAACTCAAAACAATTTTTAAAGACCTATTCTCCTTGCTTTATTTAGATATTTGAGTAAAACTGTTGACATTCAAGAAACTGACTTCATCATAAGTTCATCATAATTTTGCAAAATATTACATTTTTAACCTATAGCCTGCAGGCAGCAACTGAATCTACCCATGTGATCAGTGCAAACCAAATTCAGCTGGCATATATGTGCTGTCTAATCATGGTCTTCATTATAAGCTCTTTACTCAGTTCTTATTCTGAAATTTTCCCTAAAAATGATGAACAGTTTTATCCAGATTGAAATATGAACAAGTCACTGGTAAATATAAATATATTATTTTTTTTTACAATGTAGGAGTTGTATCAGGCAGTGGACAGGACTCACAGAGGAAAGATAGCATTATCATCATTACAGGAAATACTGACCTCGGCACTCTCGTTAGATTTTAAAGCAGAACCCCCGAGGTGGAACAAACTCATTGATACCATAGAAACCGTATGTATAGTATTTTTTGGTTATAAAATAGTAAAATTTGTTGAAAATATAGTTACTATCCAAATTCAATATTCATAAATTTTACTTTGAATTAAATTGGAAGAGTGTTGTCAGTGAATTAATTCAGGGCAACGTTCATTGTTGTAGAAATGAGCCCTGTTGGAGAGAGGGGTGGCGGCAACATTGTTATGTTGTTAATACTGCTGGCTTTTAAACACCTGTTCCTCACTGCTGTGGGTTTGAATCCCACTGCGATTTTATCCTAGGAAGCTATCCGGCAAGCTTACGAAGTCAGTGGTTTAATTCAGATGACCCTATGTGCCAGAATATAAGTATGTACAGTAGGGCACCTATGGATTTCTTCCACCAGTAATGCTGGAAATTTGCTAATTTAAAAGCACTTTTTGTGAAATAATGACTTAAAACCTGACAAAAAAGAAAACTATGTGCTATAATGTCTTGCCTATGCCACCTGAGTCTAGAGCCAGACTAATCTGCATATCCTTGCAGTTCAAACAGAATTATATTCAATTGACTTATTCAAAATCTGGAAAAAAGAAGTCCCAAATTTAAAGAACGGAAAGTGTATTATTCAAAATAAGCATACATATACTGAAAGGTTAATGGAATGCATGATAATTATTTACAGTGATGTATACTTGAATGATAATTAAATCAGACTCCAATCAGTGCTGCTGAAAATTATCTTTGCTGCTGAAAAACTTATCTTTGTAGGCATGATAAAAACATGACATATTACTTGACAATTTTCCAGCTTAATATATATCATATTGCACATTAATACACACATGTATATTATGAAATATATGTATAGATATTATTGCACATTTATGTATGAAAATATTGTTAATTCTAAGCTTTACATCACATGCATATCTTTAACCTTTCTTTATATATTTATTTCATTTTGAAATTCTTATTTGAACATTATTAAATTTCAAAAATTTATGTGTCAAAAACTTTCTCCTTTGTCAATCAAGCAAATCCGAGTTTTGAAAAATATCTTTATAAACTCCAGGACTCGGTACTGGTTAATTTAGCCAGAAATTAATTTAGGTTACAAGCTTACTCAGTATACAGGTTCATTCATAACTGACATGAAATAAAACAATTTTAATTCTAATATTTATATTATTAAAGGCGGAACATGATGTGATCTCTTACTTTGAATATCTCGCCCTGGTACCGTTCTTTACGACATTGAATAAGACGTGAAAGGTGAAAAACTTGTTGCTAGTGATATTGTAATTTCACTTCATGGTGTTTGAGACAGTACATTTCACTTCATTAACTATGCATTCTTTCTGAATTGAATCACTTTAACTTGACATGATTTTATTTAAGAACATGTTCCTTAGTCACTTCTCTAACTTTCTAATCAAGTTGACCTTTTTTGGAAAATTACAAAAATCATGATTCTTGAAATTTTTTATTTAACTTTTACAGAAAATTCACATAGCACAGAAGTGAAGTGTTAATAAATCAGGGATTTTAACTTTTTAGATAAATATATCTTTTAACATTCTGAGAAAAACAACTTGTAAAGGAATAATGATCTTTGCCTTTGGTATCTGATTGATTAATACATTTAGATAAATTTAAAATTGACCAATGGTAACAATGCTATCTTAGGCAAACTTGAGGATGGTCTGTGGATCTAACTGTACACGGGTACTTATAATGTACAATTTATATACTAATTTCTAAAGAATGGTCTTCCTCAAGCATGTGTTTAAGTTGTTAAATTATCAGATGATCTTAACAGTTTTGATCCAGGAGAACTACATGTACGGCTTATACTTGTTCAGATGTTAGCCTCTCAACACAAGTTTTGTGGGTTCGAAACCAACTGGTTACAGCCTCTCAACACAAGTTTTGTGGGTTCAAAACCCACTGGTGTCATGACCTATGAGGTGATGACCATGTCTTCCCATGAAATAGGTACTGGTTATAGTTCCTGAGGAAGCAAACCCAAGATTGGCTTTCTTCGTAAATAAAAAGATGTATAATGTTTGAAAAAGGGTGTTGTAACTTAAAACAACAGTCTCACTGTGTCTTAAAGTATGAAAGGTCAACATCACTATTTAGTATTTTCATTTTCGATGAATCATTCAGAACATAAATCACGGGAAACAGGATTTATAGTTGCTGTGATTGCTGGGAATATAATGATGCTATTTTTAGCGTTTGATTTTAGATAGATTGTTTATCATAGTTTCTAGGCATGTGTGATAATTTTATTGATTTGAAAACTGGCTTATGGCTTCTTATTGGTTAGCTATTTTTAATTATGTTGGTGAGATTGAGGAAGAGGGAAAGTCATTTGAATGTGGTATGATCTCACTGAGGGTTGGTACAAAACTGTTGTGAAATATGGGTAGATCAAGTGTGGGGTAAGGGGGTCATGATTAGCCTGGGATTTGGCTGGTATGATTTGAATATCAACTTACATGTTTTAATGAAAATCATGCAAAAAACAAGTTAAAATCGGCAAATATTCAACTCATGGCTCCCACATGAAAAACCAGTTAAATGCCAAATCTTTTTCTAGAAAAATCATTACCCCATGTTGAAATTTTTCAACTGGCATGACTGGGTTAGGCCGTCTTGTGAAAAATCCGGGATCCTTGTCTGGTAAAATATTTCTAAATTGTAAGACTTTGAAAACACAGTTTTGCACCAACTCTTAGATATAGTTTGTTAAAACATCATTCTTAACATTTTTGTCGGGTAGATTTGCTAATATATATTTTTTTGAAGATGAATAAGTGTAGAATAAGCAGCTTTGGCTTGTGCCAAAGGGACAAATTAGTGTTGTATGGTATGGCAGTGCTGTAGTTAATTAATAGAGTTAAAGATTACCACATGATATATTTGATATTTTCAGCTAAAACTGGTATGGTATAGATAAATTATGAGGCATGCATAAAGCTTTGCTTGATTAGAATTTTAAAAAATTGAACTTCTTCTGTATAGACATTTAGATAATCTGACTACAACATTTTAACAATCTTTTTGATAATTAAAAATATATTGACCTTGTAGCATATAATATTTCATCATATTAAGAAAACTATAAAAAACACATTAATCTTCTTTATTTTATTAAAAGTATGCTATATAGTTAAAGAATAACATGGAAGTTGTAGTCATTAGGACATGCATGTAAGCATTGGAAAGGATTCAAGTATCCTCTTGCAATTTTAACATTTTAGTTTATTAACACTCCATAAATAATAAATAATCATTTTCAATATTTCACTTTCACTCAAGTTATTCATATGCATGTACAATGTATTTTGCATTGTATTCCCATGCAACATAATTTTAAAATTAAATAAAGATAATTTGTAAAATTTAAACAATTGTGTTATTTGAAAACTAACCAAAAAGAAATAAAATAAGACAAAATTAAAGATAACTTTTACAGTTTCCCTTAAAGACTGACCTTTCTTTCTATACAGTTGAACTAATATTTGTTCACAATTTGTCGGCCTTGGTGTATAAACAAATCTAAGCAAGTAAAAATATATCTATTTACATAATATATATTTTGCACTAACATCAACAAAACATAACTGGTCAAGTAATATTGAACATATTCTTCCATTTCAGAGTGAATCTGGGGTTATCTCTAAGATAGAGTTTCTAGCACACATCCCTTACTTCCAAACGTTTGTTAAAAAGAAATAAAGCCCATTACCAGGGACTTCCAGACACTACACACTTCTATCAGAACACAACATGGGAAACGTTCAACACAACTAGATGAACAAGACTGTCAAGAATTAAAATATCATTTTTCAATTAATGACTTTTGAGGATTTTGTTGTGACAATTCTTACATAAGGACACAAAGTGTATTTATTTATAATGATGGGTAATAAAGGACTTCATACTCTGTATTTTTGCACAATGTCTTTTTTGCATCATTTTTGATACTCAAAAAAATGTTTGATACTTTGTGTATTATTATTAGGTAAAGATTATGGATAAAATGTTAACTATGTGTTACAACTTTGAATTGAGGATAAAGTTGCAATTGTGCCAAAAAAAAATGTTTTCATTATTAAAACTTGAATCTTGGATTCCATGTCTATTTTTGTTCCCAAATAGTATAATGATATGATAATTATATTTAATGTCATTTTGTCTGACTATGATTGCATTTATGATTTTATACTTTTGTACTGTTTGCATTTTTGATTAGTGTTGAAAATTTTTAACTAGATAAACAATATTTTCAGACTTTTTTTTGGACATTAATGGACAACCATTGTTAAATTGGCACACATACGGTACTTTTGTAGCTAAAAGAAATGCATTTAAGCATTGCTTTGCTATTACATTATATTTTTATCTTTATTTCCTCCACAATTGAAGAGCTTCACTCAGAGGTTCTGCAGATATGCCTCTTCATAGTTTGGGAGGGGTATTTTTGGGTTGTCAGGCTTCCATCAACATGAAAGCCCGAAGTTACAAAATACAATGTAGTCTCATAGTGAATTGAAAAGATGTAAGAAAATGATTTAATACATGTATCAATTTATAAGGTTCTGGGTCATATAAAATCATATATTTTTATGGGCACACTCGATTTCTTAATTAATTGGCAGGTGCCATGGTCTTTCCTTGCCTTTATTTATGATTTTATCATTATGTGCCATTTTCATACAATACATCATTTTAGTATCAGTCTGCTTTCTGCCGATCATTTCATTTGGGATAAAGATAAAAATGTCAACTTGAATGGGGATATATATATTTCACATACAAGATTTGATTGACATTTGGGGTTCGTACTGTCAGTGCCAGAAAGGGCGCAATTGGACTATCATAAAGGATAACATGATTCACATTTCTTTCCTTATTTTGTAACATTAATTATCTTTTGGCTACTAAAGCCCCAAATTTCATATCCATAGTTTTAATTTTCATTCTTTAATTGCTATGGCAATAATGGCATACTAATGCTTTCATGGTTCTTATAGAGCCAATTTAACCTTAATGTCCAGGCACAGTGCAGAGGGTCAACTTTATTTACCTGTATTTAAAGTAATATCTTAAATCTGAAATTGACAATAAACAAGCAAGCAACCAAATTAAAAGCAATGCAAATTAAATCCTGAAAATTAGCATAGAAATGGGGTAACAAAATGGTCTATAGATGCTTTTGTCATTGATTTAATTTTACATACTTGTTCTGTGATATGTAACTTATTATAAGAATGAATGGATACCTGATCCATTTATAAGTTACTGTGTATATGCTGTTAGATACATACATTTCAGATAGTATTTTACCCATGTACATTTTTTTCTTACCAAAGCTACATCCAATGTACATAATGATATCACTGGAATTAACATTTTGGACCAGTGTAAGGCATCTGTCATTATCTGATAGGTAAATTCTGGATCCATACTTTGGATTAACCAATGACAGTGCAGCATTTGACAGCTTGTCCACATGTTCATGTTTATACTCTATAGAGGTAGACCATCTTTACATGGTCGAAATTACTTGCATTGTTTTCTCATAATTGAGGTCATAATATATCATTTTCAAGGAAACTTAAATTTCTTTAACTATTTAATATTCTTTTGCCAAGTAACAAGATCTTTAAAATTTCTTTTTTTTTAAATATTTATTAAATTGAGTTCTACAGACATTCTTTATATTACTGCCAGCAAAATTTTTATGAAAATAAAACTATTTTCTAATGTTTATTTTATTGTAACAATTTTCTGTTCTTTGTGGTAGGCGTATAAAACACATTGTTTAGATTTGTTGATTACATATTTGAGCCGCGCCATGACAAAACCAACAATGTTGGTCTGTATTCATGCTGGCCCGAAAAAGCTTATTTTGGGTTTTTTGCAGGGCGCGGCCATTTTTGTTTTTTTTTAAATAGAAAACTGTAATTCTTAAAATTTTCATTTTTTTTCTTTTTTTTTGGCTATTTTATTCATTATTTTTTTGGGGCATTTTTTTGTTAAATAGTAAAAAAGTTGTTCCTTTTAGAAAAAATATTTCTGTTTTTAAAAGTCTAAATGTGTTTTTTTGCTTTTTAGGTGCAGTACTGTATTTTAAATGGATAGCGGGGAAAAGCTATCTAAAATTACCCTTGCTTCAGTGTCGGGCCTTAAATGGTTATTTTTTTTTACAACTTGTTTTATGCCCTTGTCTGTCCATCCGTTCAGCTGTCGTGCAGTCACAGTGTCCGTCCATAGACTGGGGGAATCTGTGTCCCATGGACACATTTCTAGTTTCTTACTTTAGTCGGTCTAAGATTACATGTAAATTAAACAAGAGGGCCATGATGGCCCTGAAATTGCTTACCTGTATATAGGCCCCAGGGGCGGGGCCAATTTTAACCCAGGGGCTTTTATTTGAACAAACTTGGTAGACACCCACTAGAAGATGTTTCATGCTTAATATCTAAGCTCTAGCTTTTTGGGCTTTTTAAAAGAAGATTTTTTAGGTTTTTAGCATATACATGTAAGGAAAATCAATGATCACAAAAGCTCACAAGAGCTAATAAAAAAGGGAAAATCAAAGTTAACAGGGAAGATTATTCTGGAAATGTGGACAGTAGATTTATAAACCTAGTCATATTATTATGATCTGGGAATTTGAAGTTTGAATAAGGAACATATACATGTACTTGAAGTTTGAAGTATAGGCATTTTTTAGAAATAAAGAAGTTATAGAAAACTTTCCTGAGTTCAAGGATGATAATTCTGATAAGTGATAGAAATATGAACCTATTGCCACATATGATGTGGGTGATGATAATAAACATAAATTTAAAGTTTGTAGTAGATACATTAAGAAATAAAGAACTTATACAATCAAAGTACAGAAGGCGCTAGATTTGTTTGAGTCTCAGAATGTAAGAAAGGTGAAGGTTGTGAGATTATAAACCAATTTGTTTGTATAGTGTCACCAATGCTATTTTCAGTGTTATAACTATAGTAAATTAGCTATAAGACTAATTGCAACACTGACAATTCAATGTTTATTTGGCTTAAGCAATTAAAAAAAAAAGAAAACAGAAACAACAAAAAAAAACACGAGTTGCCTGAACTGGGATTTGAACTCCAGACCTCTTGCTTCCAAAGCGAGCACATGAACCCCACGACCATGGGGAGTTATAATATAGCAGCTTGAAGAATACCATATTATTCTTAATTAGAGTTTGTAACCCTTATTAATGTCTATATATCTTGTTCACGGTAAACCTAGCTGTTGTTTAACATTGTTTAACACTGAAGTAAATAATCATGGAGCTGAATAAAAGCATGTATATATAAGAACAAGAGCCGGTTGAAGCGGGTGATGCTCCCCTACTAGGATTTGGACACAGAAAAGTATATCTTTTGTAGTTCCAGAGTTATGTCCCAGACAAAGTTCAAAGTGTGATAATTCCAAACTTAGGCAATGCAGTTACTGTTCTTTGCACTGCACTTGTACTCAATTAGATCTATCTACCAACTTGCACGACATGTCGTCTCAATATGGTGATCATTTCTGTGAAAAAGTTGTAAAATCAGACTTCAAATAAAGAAGTTATTGGCCGGACACGATTTTGCTGCAAGGTCATGCTGTGACCTTGACCTTCAAGGTAGCGACCAAAATGTTGAGGGCAACACATAGTCTCCATATGGTGATCATTTCTGTTAAATAGTTGTAAAATCCAACTTCAAGCAATGAAGTTATAGGCCGGACACGATTTTGCTGCAAGGTCATGTTGTGACCTTGACCTTGAAGGTAGCGACCCAAATGTTGCTCGCGACACATCGTCTCAATATGGTGATCATTTCTGTGAAATAGTTGTGAAATCCGACGTCAAATAACAAAGTTTTGGGCCGGACACAATTTTGCTTCAAGGTCATGCTGTGGCCTTGACCTTCAAGGTAGCTCACCCAAATGTTACGCGCGACACGTCGTCTCAATATGGTGATCATTTCTGTGAAATAGTTGTCAAATCAGACTTCAAATAACAAAGTTATGGGCCAGACACGAAATTCGAGAAGTACGTACTGACGGACGTATGTACTGACGGACGGACAACCTGACGACTATATGCTCCTGAAATTTTTTGTGCATACTGACGGACAGACGGACAACCTGACTATATGCTCCCCCGAAATTTTACGGGGAGCATAATAACACAATATTATAAATCTTCAACCAATCGGGAGCTATTTTTATGTTACAAAAATTAATGTGCCTGCCATTTGACAATCTTTACCCAGTGATCTCCCCTTAATTTTCGGCATAAATGTACATATGAAGGGAAGTAACCCCTTCGAGGAGTTTGGACTACTTTCGGTATTTGCAAATAAGAACATCAGGGTCTGAAATTTCGCTAATGACCCAAACAAATAAAACAACATTTTTTCTAAGATAAGGGGAGTAAATCAAATGAGTTGTGAACCTCCTAAGTGTGCATAATCTCTATATCTATCCATATTTCAAGTTTCATAAAAACATTTTCAGTATTTTTTTATTTATCACAAATTTTGTTATATTTGCCATCTTTTAAGTCTATTTGTTGCCATTATATATAGCAACCAAATTTTTCAACATAGATATGTGCACAATCTCCAGACTGCCATCTACCCATATTTCAAGCTTCATTTTTTTTGTAATATCGATCACGGGGTCCAGTTTTTGTGTTATATTTGCCATATTTTATATCTATTTGTAGCAATAACAACCAAATGTTTCAACATACTGGAAGAAAAGAAAAATGCATGCATAATCTTCAGACTGCCATCTACACATATTTTAAGTTTCACAAAAATTTTTAGCACAGTACTTTTTGCGTTATCAAGGGATCCAGTTTTTTGGATGGATGGATGGATGGATGGACAGATGGTTTGAAGAATGGACG